TACGGCGATGTCAAATCTTTTCTCCGACTTCCATTTTTAAACATACTCAAAAGAGATAACTTGACACGTCAAATTGGAACAAATTAATCTCGCGCGCGATAGTAATTAGCATAATCTTGCAAGTTTCGACACGCCCGATCGAACTCGGTATCGTTAATTTACCACTGAATCGCGCGGTTGTCACGTCCTCCGTGTAAATAAACCGACGAAGATTGCCTCGCTAAGTAGATTAGGTGACATGGTAATTGGAAAAGCTGTGCGGGGAATTCACCGGGAACCAGTTGGACGACGATGTGACGCTCTTCACGAGGAAGTGCCTTTAATAGATGACGATTATCTACGGACAATTTTCAGATTAGCCACGTTTATTTTTTAAAACGTCTTTGAGTGATTGAAACGTTAACATATTAATTTTGACGTTTATTATACAATTTCCCTCAATTTGATTACCATATCATGAAAAAAAAAATTCTTCTTAATACCTCTCTAACATAAATAACGTGACAAATAGAAAGTTACAATGTTGTTTAATAACTTCGATTTTAAGGTTACATCGTAAAGGTCCGGACAATATCAAAACGTAATTGAATAGTCGTAATACGAAAATTGTACATAAAATTTATTTATGTGTTTATTACCACTTAAAATATCTATTTTAAATGTTTTCAAGTTATAGTAAAGGTTATAACTCGGAGTACGTTTACGTGTACGCGCTTTGGTTGTTAACGATGCATATAATGTACTCGGCAAAAGTAGTTCCGTCAAGTTGCTTGTGAACTAAGCTCATCGTCGCCGCTTTGGCGACTTCGCATTTTCTTCTCCCTAAAATATGTCTTTTCGCTGCAGGAAGTCGCAACATGTTTACGTATTAGGCGTAAACTATTCCTTCATCCGCTATTTATGCGTGTAAATACTTGTAGGTGGTTTCCGAATAAATCTTTCTTCTATTTTAATAAAAACGATTCTTGAAAACAATCATAACTGTAATAAATTATTCAAAATGATTTTCAAAATTCCTGCTGAATGTTTAAATCCAATTATTGACATCCATCAGCGTAAGTCTGAATATATAATAATAGCTGGAAATATTCGATCTTTCGCCGATTTGTTTGGTATATCTTGTCACTGACCGGAGAATGTTGATGTTGACTAATTTCATTGTTTCACAGTAACAACTCCATTATCAAATTCCTTCAAGAAATTGTGATTTTGGAGTAATTCTTCGTTAATTTCTGTTTTAACGTTAACATTTATACATTTTGAATGGTTTTTAATAAAATAAAATTTCTTGTAATGAGCAATTAATCCAAGGAATAAATTTATTTCCTTTTTAATTGCTGTGTAGAGAATTGTATACAATAACAACTATTCATATTTATTGATTTAGCCTTCCACAATTTTTCTAGTTGCAACAAATCTTTTATTTCTTGACTATTGTCGTCCTTGTATTTATTATCTTTACTCAGCTGCAAATTCTGAAACATTCCGAATTTGGTATTAGAAGATATCCGTGTTGATGTTATCACATAATCTACGTTAGATAGACAAATAAGACGTAATTTACAACATTCGTGTGTTAAAAATAAGTCAACTATTAAGCAGAAAATTCAGTATGATAAGAATATTAGGTTCTATGAAAACAAAAAAGGTAAAAGTTACGGTAGAATAATTTCTGCGCCGTTCCACATACGTCTTTCATTATGCAAATGTTGGCGTTTGTGATAATACCTGGCGGAAACTGATAAAGTACGTGGAAACGCGATTCAGTTGGAATTCTGCCAGCGTAACCAACCTGGACCGCAATATCTTTACGCCGGCGACCACTGGCGTTATGAACGAAAGGAACCCATATCCCCGTCGTTAATTTTAGGCTTCCACTAAATTAAACAAGTCGCCGGTCATAAATTAATTTTAAATTGGTACGCGCGATAAGAATCCAAGGCAATTGCCTACACGCTGAGCGCGAGCTCGTTTTTATTATTTCTAGCATCGATAACTTTGTATTCGTAACGGGGTTCAACATCTCGTCCCATTTATAAAATAACGGAATTGAATTCACATTTTTTCTATGAAAAAAAAGGTTACGTTTGCCGAGTCCGAACCGAAAAGAAAAAAATCGTACGGTATTCTATACAACACTGAATTTCATTTGTTCGCGGTCACAGTGAAATGTATAAATATATGTACTATGCAAAGTTTTAGAGAGTCCACGACAGTCATCTGCATTTCAAGTGCCACTTTCCGTGATACTTCTTCTGTGATACCACCGACGAGAAGGTATGGGACTTCCAGATACGGCTATATATCACGGCGCGCGTTTCGACACCGCCTGTCAATCTGATAAATAATCAGAGAACCGCTGAATGCCAATACATCGGCGAAATACAAGCGGTTATGCAAATAAGTGGAGTGGCAGTGTGCCCACTTTATAAGGCATTCCTCTGCCGGACGAACTTAAATCTCCAAGATCCAAACATTCTTTTCCCTTTTAAATCAACCCACAAAAAAAGTCACCTTCAAAATTATTATTACTTAGGTGACCCGTTTTCTATCTTATCGATGTCCTTCATTTTGTATCAATCGTCGCGAATTGAGCTTTTATACAAACACACAATTTATTTTAAGATAACAATTATTATGTCATATTTTTTTTAGTTTACACAGATCCTTATCAGTTAACCTTAACGATATGAAATAATTTAAAAAATGAATTAATTAAAAAAAACAATTTGGCGGAAATTAAGATGCTAATTCTCCCTGATTAACCTAATTAAGACATCTGATTAAAACCTAATTATACCAACGTTAATGTATCTTTAGTTTTTCTCGTGAGTTGAGTAAAATGAAACGAAAAAGTAATCATGCACGCAATTTGAAAATTAACCGCGCCACTTTCATCTTATTGAAATCTTGCTTTTGCGTTTAATTTGAATTTATTTTTACTTTTTACAACACCCCAAGGTTTTTGTACACACATCTAGAGTTCAATCCCCGCGGTATATATGACTATAACTTACGCGCCGACAGTTCAATAAAAGGTGTACTTGAGGCGATAAAACGCCCTTTCCTGGTATAGGCCACGGTCGAATAATCGTGTGGAAAAAATAAGCGTCATTCGGTTCAATATTTAAGGATGACTCAGAGAAATTGGGCGACGCCGTTATTGAGAAGCAATTAAAACGCATTCAATGTTCGACGGTATAACTGCACCGGCTGTGAAATAAAGTTACAGTACCGGGAATAAAAGTTTAATTAAATGAAACTGTTGAAGGTAAAAAAAGTTACATTTTTTTATTTAAAGTATCCATTCAGTTTTGATATGATAAGCTTATTTTGAGGTAAATTCCCGATGATAAATCAGCAACCGCACTAATTATTAATCTTGATTGTGCCGATTTCGCACCCCAATTTATCTTCAGGAATACATTAACTACACTGACGGACACAAGTCTACATACAGCATTGAATTATGAGGTTTTTATAAAACATAATAAAATAATAGAAAATTAGTATTACAGTGTGATAGCAACATAATAAAAATTCAACAAACAATGCAAAAACTAACATGACAAAAGTCTACATACAATGCACTTGAGTTAAAGAAAGCAAGTAAAAGTTGCATAAAGTAGCTGTCATTGCATTTTCTTTTTTCTTAATTCAGTAGAGATTGTTGGCAGCATTTGGTGTAGGAAAACTGACATTCATTGATGGAATTATGGATCGGTATAAATATAAAACTATTTTAGAACAAAATTTGAAGCATTGTTTCGAGCATGTTTGGAACGTAAGATGCAAAATCACAGATGCGAAAATACTGAAATCTGCGTTAGTCGAATCTTGGGCTGAAATAACAGCAGAAGAGACAACAAACTTAGTTGCTTCAATGCCACGACGTCTGCGTGCTGTTATAGAAACTCATGGAGGGCCAACGAAATATTGAGTTGTAAAAACTGACATTACATGGACCTAATAATTTAATTTTATTAAAAACTGTATAATTAGTAATAATTACGTTATTAATCAGCAATAAGTTCATCGAATAACTCTTGATTTAAAGTTATTTAACCATGAATATCGATATAATAAGAAGTTAATCAAGATGGTATTTTTGTTGACGTATTTCTTATAGTTCCGAATACCAAGAACTGAAGGAGACATCTTGATCCCATCATAAACTGAATTACCGCCCGATTTCGCCATAGCCACACCCCGTCGTCGTTGTTAATATTGGCTTAATGGCGGCGTAATTACAGACCGTGTGGCTGGAACGTTGCTTTGTCGGCTTCAGAACATGCTGACCTAGCAACGTGTGTCTTCACTATTTACATTTCAACGACAAGCTACCGTTGTATAAAAAAATTTAATTACGAAAACCTCATAGTACAAGTAATTCAGATAAATCTATTATGTGTTTTTAATAATAAAATCGGATACTTTTTATCTGGTTTATCGTGACTACTCGGGAAATTAAATATTTACCCGCCTATAAATGAGTTAACATCGGCATCTAATGGATTGTAATTAGTACCGAACACGAGCCAGCCTGCTGAATTAATCAAAGCTAACATATGGGAGGATAAGTTTGTATGTTAATTAAATTGCAGACGAAGACGACGAATTTTGAAATTGCGCAATAAAATTTTAAATTGTTGATCCGCAACTAAAATTAAATTGTGGTTCACGTAAATTGATAATAGCGCGTGCGTTGGCACAGTGAACCTCTTTGATGTGGCTGAGTTGAAGCGGGAAGATTAAGAGCGGAGAAATTCGCGTGTAGAATACAATCATATTTCTGTTTGAGGACCGGTATATTTACCCGTCGTGTTTCTGCAAAGTTCAACGCACCTTGTTTACTAGTTACTCTGGGATAAAAGGGACAAACATTTCGTGAAGAGAATAATAAATTTGATTAAATTTAACCCATTTATACACAGATAATAATATTTATTCACAAGCAAATGTGAATGAGTTAACAAGAATTTTGTTTGAATTTCTTTCAGGCTGTAATTGTAATCCAAAAGGATCCGAATTGGAAACGTGCGACATCAAAGACGGGAAATGTCGATGTAAACCTCATTACACCGGAAGATCTTGCGATAGATGTGAAGTAAGTAGCATTTAAAGTTGTATCATGTTTTTGCATTTTTTTTTGTTAATTTAGGATGGGTATTATTGGAATAGTGCCGATGAATGTGTAAGTTGCGAATGCAATCGGTCAGGATCAGATAATATCACTTGCAATCAAAAAACAGGACAATGTTCGTGTAAACCTGGAGTTACAGGATTGAAATGCGATAAATGTCTTCCGAGTTATTATGGATTCTCAAAGAATGGATGCAACAGTAAATTACTTATAATCAATTAATTCGAAAAATTATATTCATTTTTTTTAGAGTGTGAAGATTGTAGTGCAAAACCAGGACATATTTGCGACCCAAAAACGGGACGTTGCGTTTGCCCAATGCACACAACCGGATCAATGTGTGATAGATGTGTTTCAAATTCTTGGGGATTTAAACCAAACTTGGGTTGTAAGGAATGCGATTGTTCAAAATCAGGAAGTACAAATACGCAGTGTAGTTTGGATGCAGGAGTATGTTCTTGCAAGCCAGAATATACTGGTGAAAAATGCAATCGGTGCAAACATGGTTTTTACGGGTATCCTCATTGCAAACCGTGCGATTGTAACGTAGATGGTACAGATAGCATCCTCGGAAAATGTACTCCAGAAAGAATTTGTCAATGTGACGAGAATGGAAATTGTCCCTGCAAAAGAAACGTCCATGGGAAAGAATGTAATAATTGTAAAAGCGGTTATTTTGGATTACAAACCGAAAATCCGGACGGTTGCATGGAGTGCTTCTGTTTTGGACGATCTAGAAACTGTACAAACGCCCCATATACATGGGAACAAAATCGCACCATTTCTACAAGATTCCTAACCCACGGAGACATTTCCAGTAAAAGCGATGTAAGCCATTTTTAATTTAATTTCGTTTAGTATCACAGAAACAATTTTATTTAGGTAATTGAATCCGAAAACATCATCAGCGGCGATTACAACAACTACACGATAGGTGACACGGAAATGATTCAATGGATAAATAGCATGAAACCATTATATTGGAGATTACCACATTCAATGAGCGGGGATATGACACGATCATATAACGGATACTTAAGATTTTCAATTCAATCTTCCCCACCCACAACCATAAACGACGCTGATCCATTGGTAAAATTAAAAGGTAACGATTTAGAATTACATTATTACCCAAGATCTCCATCAAACCACTACGAAATTAAACTACACGAAGACGGATGGAAACTTCTTGAACCAACTAAAAAATATTCCAAATATAAACGCGAATACAAAAACGGGTTTTTGAGTGCAAAACTAAAACGTATAAATAAAACTGGATTTATGATTGCTTTGCAGAACGTTACAGAAATTTTTGTTAAAGCTACTGATTCGGTTACTAAAACGTTTGATAATTTATCGTGAGTAATTTATTTGAAATTACGATTAATTATTAAAATTATTCAAACTTTTAGTTTAAGCGACATAGTTATTGATACAGCAATGGAAATTAAAGGAAATCCTCAACCAAAAGCAATCGGAATAGAAATGTGTTCTTGCCCCCCTCAATACACAGGTTTATCATGTCAAAACCCCAATAAAGGATATTTCAGATTTAGAGATGAAGAAGGAGATCTCATCGATAAAGTGTTAGGTAGAGCTGAGCTATGCAGTTGTAGCGGAAGATCAAGCGAGTGTGATGTCGAAACAGGAAAATGTTTGGTAATAAACACTTAATTTATGTCAAAACATAACTTTAATTATAACAATTTTTAGAATTGCAAAAATAACACAGATGGTATTAACTGCGAAAACTGTGCTGAAGGATTTTATGGGGACCCATTAGATGAAGGGTTTTGTAGACCATGTCCGTGTCCTACACCAGAAAAGAACTTTGCGATAAGCTGCAAACAGTTACACAGACACAATTTCCAGTGTATTTGCAAGAAAGGTCATACCGGCCTTAACTGTGCCAATTGCGCTGAAAATTATTATAGGGATCCAAACTTTCCGGACGGAAAATGCATCCCTTGCAATTGTAACCCTTTTAGTAGTAACGGAAAATGCGATCATTTAGGGCAGTGTATGTGTAAAACAGGATTCACTGGAATGCAATGTTCACAATGTGAAAAAACAAGACATATTGTTAAAGAAAAAGATTGTATTCGTAAGTATTTATTTATTTAGTTATTAGCTTTTACTACTAATTTACTGAAATATTTTTTTATTGACAGCTTGCGATCAGTGTACTCAACTTCTTCTTGATAAACTTGATGACCTATCTAATATCGTTCATGGAAACACTAGCTTACTTTTAACTGCGGAGATTCGTCCACCATGGGAGAAATTACATAACTTTAGCGATAAATATATGATCCTTAAGAATAAATTTGATGTGTTCCAAAAAGATAATGATAATCTCAATGACTTTATTAATGGGGATAAACCTAAATTACTAGAAAAAGAAACTAATAGTATTAAGGAAAAGTTCCAAAAAACACATTCAGATCTTATAAATATCACAAAAAATGCTGTGGGGGTTCAAAAAGAAACTGATGATGGAATCGATGAGTTAAATAAGATTATGAAAGATCTCGATGTTACGATGGATATGTTAAAAAACTTTGGTAAAGAACGGGTTAAAATTAAAGATGCGTTAAAAGAAGCTAAGATGCTTTTAAACGAAATTCGTAATAAACATGATAAAATTAAAGATATAAATAACAACGAAGTTTATGGCAAATGTAAAGAATTAGAAGAAACTGTGGAAAAAATACATAAAGACGACATTTCTGGAAAAACTCGCAACTTGCAAACAGATTTAAGACACATTAAACATTTTCTTGAAAAAACAGATGAAAACTTGAAAGAAATAGAAAGCGTTGTTGCTGAAACAATACAAAGAAACGTGATGAATACAGACAGAATAAGCGAATTAAAAACTAATTTAGAACAACAAAAACCTTTATTAATGCAATTGGAGGATGAAATTAATGAGGCTAATGCGATACTTAAAAAAACTTCAAATGAATTAGATGCGACTGCAGATATTCTCGACGATGTACCAACCAAAAAATTACAAGAATCTACCGTTGATATGGAAAATCGAGGAGGTGAGCTTGCTAAGGAAATTCAATTACTAAAAAAATTCGTGGATTTAGGAAAAAAACATATAAGAGATCTCAATACGAACGTAACTCACATTGAAAAAATTTTAAAACTTAGTAACAAAGAAGTAGATGCGGTAAAAGCCAGCGAAGCCTATTCAAACATAGTGGCTAATTTAAAAAACGCAACAGAAATAGCAACAGAAGCCAAAATTATGCTACATAATTTACTGGATCAAATCAACGGAACTAAAAATGATACTTTGCGTCAAACAGCTTCTATTTCTTTAGCAACTTCGACACGATTACAAATGAGATTGCGCCCGTTACAAAATAAAAAGGTCGATATAGAAGAAAAATTAGATATGTTAGAACATAGGCTACAAAGGATAAAAAGCAAAAATTGGGATAATGGGATCTTAAACGGCAATCAAAGCCAAATAATTCGCGAATTGGTTAAAGAATACGATAACGTTACAAACTTGAAAAGCGAAGTGGACGAAGCTATTAAACAATCGGATAACATGAAGAATGTATACACTAAAGCGCAAAATATGCAATTAAAAATGCAATATGAATTAAATAAATTACACGCGAGATGTATGAATTTATCATCTCAAGAACGTAGGTATTAATAAATTTGATCGATTAAGTTTTAATAAAAAACTTTTAGAAATACAAAAAATGAATCAACAAATATCTGAGGCGAAAAGTAAGATACAAAAACTCCTAACGGAAAAATTAAGCAATTTTAACGATATCAAAAAATTTGATAGCACATCTGAAAATTTTATGATCGCAAATAAAACGCTTTCTCAACGGTTAGACGAACTTAAAAGAAAAGTTCAAAAATCTAAGGAAATTGCTAATGGAGTAAGTTAAATTAATTGAATTAAAAATAAATAATTTAACAAAAATTTCTATTTAGATTCATGTATCGATGTCGGGGGATCATTGTCAAAGATCGTATCAATTAAAGAATTTGCGACCGTCTCTTATTACACACGTTATAATTCGTTTACAAATCCACGAAGAAACCAAAGTTGACAAACAAATATCCGTTTTTCATTTAGAAAACGACGGCGATCATATTAAAGTGGATATAAATGATTTGTTGGTTCAATTTTCGATTAAAATAGGGGACGAAATTTTAAAACACAATTTGACAGGAAACGTTGGCGTAAATAAAATTGTTTTAGAACGGTAAGATTCTTTTTTTTAATTAAAGTACCAAACGAAAACTTGTTTCAACTCAAAGGCTCAGTGATTAACATTATATCAACTTCGGCTTTATCACATAACTTAATTTTATTAATTTATATGCAAAGTATAACACAGTTTTCGTTTGGTATCATTTGAGAGTAACATTTTATCTTCAATGAAATTTTTCTTAGAATTACCCGTAATTTAAAATTAACTGTAAACGATAAGATAGATAATTTGCAATTTAATAAAACCCTTAAAGTCTTTAACGTATCCGCTGGAAATTTAATTTACGTTGGAGGTAAAGAAAAAACAGGATTAAATAACATTTGTTTGGATGATATTATCGTAAATAATATGAGAATTGGATTATGGGATTTTAAAGAAATGGCAGAAACACCTTCGAATTGCATAGGATGTATACAAAGCCAAATGAAAATTTATCAAACTGACGGAGTACACACCCTATTTAATGGAGAAGGTTATTCTTTAATTAAAGCCGAACACAGACTGAAAAAGAATGAGTTTTCAGTACATTTTACATTAAGAACATTCGACGAAAATGCTTTATTATTTTTGGCGATTGACCCCAATAAGGTTTGCTCATAATTAAGGTTTACTTTAAATTAGTTTGTTATTAAGTTTGATTTTTTTAGACAAATTCTTATTTGGCAATTACTTTAAACGGTGGTTATTTACAATATGAAATTCATTACTCTGATTCGAAAAATATTACTTTAAGAACGGACAACAAATACAACACCGGAAAGCACGTGTTGATTGATTTTAAAAAATTTTTTAAGGACGAAGAAGATACATCTCTTATAACTGTGAATAATGAACGAACTAACTCATCAAAAAAAATTGAGATGAAAAAAAAGTTAATACTTAGGAAAACTAATTTTTACGTGGGTGGTGTTCCCCCTGATTATAAGATACAGTGTCCTAACTGTACCAAGGAACTTCATACACATCAGTCGTTGCTTGGTGATATTATTTCGTTTAACGCCGGTAATACCATTTATCAACTTTATGAAACTAGTACTAAATTACAACAATATGGTGTAGAATTGTTATCGACTCCAGTAAGAATAAATTAATATATTTATTAAAACACAAATTTAAGTTTTCTTTTTTAGTTCGAATTTGCGATGGCTTGGTTTGAAGGTGACGGATATCTTCAATTAAGAGCACAATTAAATAAAACATTCTCGATCAGTTTTGTTTTAAGAACTCAACAACAAAATGGGGTAATAATTTACATCACAAATGTAGGAGAGCTTCTCGTTGAAAGTGGTTATTTAATTGGACAATTTCACAATGAAAAAGCTAAAACGAAAGTTAAAGTAGATGATGATGAATATCATATTGTTGAGTTGCGACAAGAAGCTAACAAAATCACGTTAAAAGTAGGCGAAATTGCAGAAATTTTAATGAAAGAATCGACAAAAATGCCTGGTGATGTTTATTTGGGAGGAAATAAAATTACTATTAACAAATTTAACGGTGAAATACGCGATTTAATAATCGATGATAAACTGGTTTTATTTAATTCCGAGACAATTAATGAGTTTGAAAAGGTAAAAATTGGTAGAAGTAAACCGCAAAAATTAGTAGAAATTCCAATGAAATTAAAAAGTGGAAAAGACATGTTAAAAATGAGAGATGTAGCGGAAAATATGAAAGATATGCAAAGTACTGAGGGTTGTAATAAAGTTGGACATAACTACACTTTGATTCCAAACGCGGCTAAATTTGGGGACGTTTCCGAATCTTACATAACGTATCATATGAAGGAATCGTTTTGGAAGAATGAATATACAATAGAACTTGAATTTAGGACGTTTTATAAAAATGGATTGTTGTTATTTGCTCAAGTAAGGAAATAAATTAATTCATTTTAAGTAAATAAAAAGTTTTTTTGGTGTAGGGAGATGGAAAACATTATTACTTATTAGAACTAAAAGATAACATAGTACTTCTGCACGCTTCCGGTAAAAAGAAAAAAATCGTGCAAATTACTAAAATCATAGATGACGGTAATTGGCACAAAATATTAATTGAAAGGAGATTCGATCGTAAAAAGAAAAAGAGAAAGGTTACAATCTTATCTGTAGACGGCTCAGCTACCAAACCACAAAAACTACCTCAAGGAAGAGTATTTGGTGAGATGTATGTAGGAGATATAGCCAAAAATGCGCAACATAAATTAAAAAAACAAACGGTAAAATCTTAAAATAAATAACTTAATTGTACTTATTTGAGTTTATTTTAGATTACAAAAATAAATCAATTCAAAGGATGTATTAAACCATTAAAAATTAATAATACACCAAGAAAATTCGACGAAATTCATAATATAGGCCAATGTTTCCCAAATATCGAAAAAGGGTCATATTTCAGAGGAGATTCATACGCCATATACAGTAAAAAAAAACTCTAATTTGATATATTATAATAAATAAAGAATGTAATTAACATTTTTTTATAGATAAAAACTTCCGCATGACAAATTACCTAGAATTAAACTTAGAATTCCGAACAACCGAACAAAACGGAATATTAATGAGTGTTTCATCCCCAAACAACAGCCCTGCCATTTCCTTAGAACTTTACAACGGCGCTGTTGTTTTATCAGTCGATTTGGGTGATAGACCAATGACGAACGTCACAAATTCTTTATCGGATTACGCGCTTTGTAATAATATGTGGCATAATCTAACCGCGTTAATTTCAACGGAATTAACGGTTAATGTTGATGGAGTGAGTAAAAGTTGGGTTTTATCGGACGACAATAAAGATGAAATTGAAGGGTCTTTGTATATTGGAGGAATTCCCGGTACTTAACACGTTTAATGATATTAATTAATCACTATTTAAATTATTTTATTTTAGATTATGCTCCAGAAGGAACGTTAAAAGTCCGAGAAAACTTTAAAGGTTGCATAAGAAACTTAAAAATCGATGAAAATCAGGTTGACTGGACGAAAATGGAAGAGTTAAATAATATATCGTTAAATTCCTGCCCAGTTACATAAACACATAAACTAATATTAATTTTATTAAACATAAAGAAACCTCAAAGACTGTAAAGATGCCATCAACAATTTATTTTTCGCAGAACCGTTCCTAAATGATCTGCGTTTGTATTAAGACAAGGTACAAAGCTAAAACCGTTTTTGATTTATTCAATTGACAAGTCAAATGTATAGTTTATATATTTAACTAAATAATTAACCTCCTTATTATATATTTTGTTATTTATTGTCTACTGTAGCACTGCCAATGATTGTAAATAGTTGATGTAAATGTAAATAATATTTGTATATTATCAAATGAAATGCGAAAGTTACTTAAAACTTCAACAAACTTAGTATTATTTATATTTAACAATAAGAAATGATTAGGTGCGCGAAAACACCAAAACGCACCTCATATAATGTAAATAAATTTTAAATAAATAAAATAAAAATTGTCACAAACTCTTTCTATCTTGTAAATAACCTTGCCAAACACTACGAAATTGTACAGTAATCCAATCAAATTTCTACTCAGACTGGTGTTGTGTCTAACAACCACCTTAATCTTGTTTAAGCTTCTGCAGCTCCGTTTGGAATCCCCAATATCAAATATATATTACCAGAATTGAAAGGATTCAAACGAAATTCCTTAAGTATCTATGTTTTAAAAGCAACATCGCTTACATTGATTACGTATCAGCCTCCTTCAACTTCTTATTGCTCCGTCGGCGTCGTTCATGCGGAGATGCTTTGACATTTCATAAAATCATTAATGGTAGTATTGATTCTCCTAGCCTTCTTGAAGTCGTTAATTTTCGTGTTCCTCCCGGTGTCTTCTCTCTCCTATGTTGAGAATAGCGTGCACGTTCGACCATTTACATCGTAGCGCGGGGGTTGACGTCTTTTGCGACATCATAATAATTAGTTTATATAATAAGTAAATTCTATATATTTTGATGTATTTTTCTTTGTTGTTATTTTTGAGGCATGCTGCCTTAGGTTCATTCCGCGCTCAACTGTATGTATTAAATAAATTCTGCAACAAGAGTAGGAGTTATGTAGTTTAATGTTGGCAAAGTGATTAATAACTATAGGTTTTAATCTTAACATCTAAGTTAGGATTAATTAAAAATATTTTAATAACAATTAAAAAATTATTCATTTTATTTAATTATACATTCAGTTCTCTCAAAATATAAACGAAAAAAAAAAATTTACTCAAAACAAATATACTGCTAGCTTAAATCCAAATCAATATGCATTGGTTCCATTTTAATTTTACCTTGCTGCTGAAGAAAGGAGGGTTGTTTCTGGACCACTGAAAGAGGAGATTGGTTTGACATGATAGGATCGGGACTCAATAGATTACCAGTACTTTGGGTGCTAATTGGAGCAGCTGTATTTGGAGTTGAACTAGGCATACAAACTACGACCAATTTCTGTTGGGTATTAACCACTTTTTGGCTATTTTGGGTATTTGCGTTTGACACAAATTTTACTATGGTATTTTGTTGATTTTGAATATTTTGTTGATTTTGTTGTTGAAGCATTCCTCCAGGTGTTTGAGGTCTTTGTTGCGCCAAGAACACAATTTTTTGATTCCCTGATGATGTTGTTACCCGATTTCCTTGATTCATTACAATTGTACGACCTTGATTTGAATTTTGCTACAATTAAATTAGAATTAAGAGAGATCAAACATTTGAACTAGAAACTTTTGGATTAAGCTGTACGTCTTTCAAGATGGCTAAACCCGAATGTTTCAAGTACCAGGTTGTTGTATACAGTGTGTTAATTCATTATCGTACCCGACGTCATCATTGCAAGTATGCAACCAATATCACAATATTCGTATTACAATACGTAAACTGCGCTAGTGGTTGCATACTTGCAATGATGACGTCGGGTACGATAATTAATTAACACAGTGTATTTTTATCAACATACTTGTTGTCCAAGTCCCGTGGGGGTTGGTACAGCTCTAGAAATATTCGCCCCAACTGATGTGATTGCATTATTAGTCATATTTGTGGTGGTTGTTGTAGTTGCTGGAGGTTGAGTTCTTGCTTTCATAACAGCATTTTGTAAGGTTTGTCCCAAATATCCATACTCAATTTTATAATCGTCTAAGTAATCGGGTGGGTTTCGAATATTTTTAATAATCGGTGCTAAAACTTTCGCTAATAATTGTTTAATGTGGCCGCAAGCTACTTTTTCTACTTGCGATGACATTAAAGGCCCTTCCAAGTGCTGTTCAATTGTAGTACCAATCGTTTTTATACGTGGAAAAATAAACGTTTTTATAACCTCAGGGCCCAGCTCAGAAAGTCCTTCAAGAGCACCATACAAAGAAGCTAGCGCTAAATTTTCTCCTTGTTGTAATGCATTGCTAAATAAGCGAGTCACACGCGTTTGAATGTTATTCGTTGAGGTGTTGAAATTTTTGCAAATTTGAGCCATTAATCGCGAAGCAAAATCTCGAAGAGCCCAATGATTATCCAATTCGGGTCTTTGACATAATTGTCGGGATACGATACATGTTGTAACTGATGGAATTAACTCGTGAAGCTATTTTAGAAAAATAATAATAATAAAATAAAGAATTTTTATCTTTAAAAAACTTACATATTTTTCTAAAAATAAAGATTGGTTATCTAATAACGCTTTAACCATTCTCATTAAATAAATAAGTAATGCTAAATTTTTTTGAACAACATTTACGCGAACACCTTCAATAATAAAGGTACACATTCTAGGGAGCATTTCATGAAGACCAGGATCGGATGCTAAACTTTGTAAAGCTTCCTGTTAATAAATTTAAAATTGAATTAATATAAAAAGGTACAAAGACAAATATAAATTAAATTTACAGCTCTTCTTCCTTCATCAGCACCAACACAAGCTTCAGTAATTTCTTTGTAATACAACTGTTGTTCGACAGACAATTCATGAGTTGCAAGTTGTTTAATCTGAACTGTTTCAACATTTCTTAATTTATGTTTCCCAGTGCTAGGTTTGCTGGCAGCTTCTTTTGTTGGTTTGTTAATTTTAATAGGATCAACAGATTCCAACTAAAAATAAGAGTATTATTTATGTATAATACAATTGAAATAATGAACCTTTTGTAGTTGTTTTGAAACTGGTGGTGGATTTTCAGGAATTGTTGGTTGAACACCGTCGATACACAACCAATGAGCTCTCAATGTAACATCTAAAGGAGCTTTAGGACTAACATTTTGTAATAACTCATTCAAATCAACCTCTTTCTCCTCTACAAAATGTAATTCACGTCCCCCGCCGGAAGCAAATCTAAACGGTAAAGTTTCTTTCATATGAAATCCATATTGAGGCTAAAACATAAACATATTGAATTTTGGAAATTTATGGAAACTAATTTTACCTCTGCATTTTTTATCTTCAAAGCGTAATCCACGTCGGTGTTCATTAATTTCGTACGTTTTGCGTGGTGCATAAATTTGGCGGCGTCCTGTATAATATGTTTCAAACGATAGGATATATCATCGGCGAGTTCTTTCGCCGCATCATCCGGCAAATTCGGTATTCCGATACTTTCGGCGACCACTTTTATAGATTCCGCAGAAAAAGAGGTTCCATATAAATCACTATCAGTGTTTTTTGCCATTTTTTTTATTGTTTAGTAAACAAACACTCTTCTATGCAAAATTGACAGTTCATTAACTATGAAGTTAGTTACAATATTCCAGCACATGAAGTTGCAAAATTTATTTAATTAATAATTAAATAATAAGATACTACTATTGTAAGTTATATTAAAACAACTTAAATTATTTTTATTAAAAAGAAAGTAATATAAATTTTAAATAAAATTTATCGCGTCCATTTATCATAATAAACAGCGCCATCTATCGTATTATTACAATTTTAGTAATAACAAATATTAAAATGAAATTTTGGATTAAACATTATATTTATTCGAGAACTTTGTTTTTCTACATTTAAATATTAAAACCATTTACCGTTTTAATATTTTAACAAGAAAGAAACATTACATTTAAAAATTAAACAATAATAGTAACAAATAAATGAGAAAATGTTATCATAACTAAAATTATAAATTAAGTGTTTAACAACAACGTAATGGGGCAGTGATCGGATCCCAAAAATTCATTATTGACAATATTATCAGCAACATTCTCCATGAATCTATTTGAAACAATGAAATAATCCAATCTCCTAAAAAAAATATGTTTAATTAATTATTCAAAGCTTATTTAGAAGAAAAAAATGTACCATCCAACATTTTTAGCCCTAGCATTATTCATGTAAGACCAAAAAGTATAAACGCCGGTTTTATCAGGATATAATTTTCGATAAGTATCCAAAAATCCTTCGCTTAAGAAATCAGTCATTCCTTCTCGTTCTTCTATTGTGAATCCTGCACTTTTTTTATTACTTTTTGGGTTAGCCAAATCAATCTCATTATGAGCCACATTCATATCTCCGCATACAATAACAGGCTTTTTTTGATCTAAATCTTTTATGTAACTTTTGAATTCTTCATTCCAAGATAATCTTTTATCAAGTGTAATCAATCCTCTTCCAGCATTGGGAACATAAACATTAACCAAATAAAAATCATCATATTCTAGTGTTATGCATCGACCCTCATCGTCGAATTCTTTGACCCCAAAACCGTTTTTGAAAGATTGGGGATTGGTTTTTGTGTAGATGCCTACACCAGAATATCCTTCTTTCACAGCACTAAACCAATATGCTTTATAACCATCGATTGATCTTACTTCATCTGGTAATTTTTTTTCGCTACATCTAGTCTCTTGGATACAAAATATATCGGGGTTCTCTTTCGCGATGAATTCAAGACCCTTTTTCTTAATCCAAGCTCTTAACCCATCAACATTCCAACTTGAAATTTTTAAATTAGATTTTTTTAATTTTTTAGATGGTTGATCATCTATTATATCTTTATCACTATCGTTCTTTGGTTCCTCATCTACCGCATTAGATTCTTTAGTTTCTATTAATTCGTATTTTGGTTGATTATTTTCTTTAACAATTTTATTGGGCTTTGTTGCTTTACGTTTACTACCTCGTTTTGTTGGTTCGTTTTCCGTGGGCTTTTCTTTTTCTTCGGGTTGAGTATCTTTTAAAATTCGTTTGCGCGGCGGCATTTTCGTAGGAGACAAAAACGTTAGAGAGTTGAAGCGTACCGGTGAAAATCGAGCGGGAATTAGAATGAGGTTAAGCCGGATTGACAACATGAAGCTTATAAACAATATTTTAGGAATATTCGATTATTTGTAGTTGGTAGATAAAATTATCGAATTTAATTGTCCAATTAATTAGAAAGTATTAATTTACAGCTTTTTTAATATGTAATTAAATTCATCTCTAGCGATAAAATACGTTTACTACGACTAAATTTGAAAATAAAAATTGTTTGAAATGTGTATTTAATTCTATGTCATTCTTCTGTCAATCGAAATTTATGAGATCTTTCAATTGACATCATTTAGATGACATTTATGGATGCTGTATTCTAACCTCAAAATCAAAATAAATTATTAAAATCTTCCTGTAATTAATTTCAAAGGTTTTAAAAATCGACTATGAAAATAAATGTGTGTACCAACGACACCGATGTTTCAATATTTATGTCTACATACAAAATCAAAAGGGAAAAGTAGTCCTCCATAACTTAATTTTCCTACATGAGCCTATTACAGATTATCACACACAATTTTTGTAACATTTCTTGGAAATAACAGATTCAACATATTTAATTATAAATATCTAGGAATCATTTAATATAAAATTAATAATTTCAAATACCAGAAACAAATTTGTGTTAGGAATGAGAAAAGTTATAAGCCATTAGTGATAATTTTGAGATACCTAGATTACCTAGGTAGCTAGACAACTCACTAATTATAAAAAGTTTTTTTATGTAATGAATGCTAATTAAGTGACTCTTAAAGAATTTTGAAAGAAATTTAATACCTTTGAATGTGTTAAGTTAGTTGTAAAATCTATCCATAAAAGTACTAAGCTTGGCATGGAAAAACTTGATGCCTGAAATTATTCATGAAAATAATGTAGTGGTAGATGAAGCTTAAGAAATTGAAAATGAAGTTGGGTGCATTTCTTGGCTTAGATGTAGAACTTGATGATATAAATGACTTATGTAATGATGAACTTTCTAAATAAGATTTAAAAACTTAAATTTTAATTGTTGATTGAAATTTCGACGTTTGACTTGTCCAATTAGTAATTAATTGTCAATATTTGGTATAAATTTGTTTTCTGTTTGGAAAAATGGCTGATGATAAACCAAAGAATGTGTATCTTCACATAAAACCTCTTGGTAAAATAAAGTTACGATAACATTTTAATTTTGAATAATATTCTTGTTAGGCCGTAGATTTGTTATATATGAAGAAGTACCTGTTTATAGATATGTTGCCATTTTTTTCGGCGAATTTACAGGAACGTTTATTTTAATGTCCCTTTCAAGTATGGCAGATGCTTCTATGTGTACTCTACTTGAGATAGCTTTCTCCGTTGGTTTATCAATATTAATTTCTGTGGAGGTAAGTTAAATTATTTTATTTAACTTTTTATTTAAATTAAATTAATGTAATTTTTAGTGCGTCGCTCATATTTCTGGATCTCACATAAACCCAGCGGTTTCTTTGGGTTCTTTTTTGTTGGGTTATCTCTCGTTGTTACATTTTTTTATATATCTAATAGCGCAATGTCTTGGTAGTATAGCTGGACATGCACTGGCTTTGGTTGGTTTCAATTTTGCTTTCTATTTTACTATAGGTATATAATTAAATTTTTTTTGTTAGCTGGTTGTATCGCAAGAAATGATAGATGCCTTTTATGAAGAAAAAAGTGCTGGTATTTTTACTCTGGTTAAAGGTAAAAATTGTGAAGATTGGCAAGTGTGTCTTATCGAGTTTGTCTTGACCTTACTCATAGTTATTGTGTGTGCTTCTGTTTGGGATTGGAGAAATAGGAAAATTGATTCTCTTGGTATTCGATTTGGGTTTTTAATTGTTGTTTTAGTTCTTGCAGGGGTAAACGGAAAATTATTAAATATTTTTATTTCTGTTATGCCAATTGATTTTTTAGGCAGCGATTTCTGGGGCGGGGTTAAACCCAGCTAGAGCAATAGGTCCAGCTATAAATAATCATGAATTTCTAAGTTATCATTGGGTAAATATAAAAAAAATCTTTATAATGTAATCGACATATAATTATTACATTTTTAGGTATATTACGTTGGACCTTTTCTTGCTGGGATCGTTGGAGGTATGCTTTATAGATTAGTTTTTCAGACTCCAGAACCTGGAGTTGAAGACGTGGAAGCTGTTTAACACAAAAATATTTTTTTTAACATTGACTGTTATTTCTGAAATGTTCCTTTAAAAGATTTTCATTAAATTGAATCAACACCAACTCATAAGTTACAATAGCCCCGGCGATCTAAAATAAAAAAACTTGTAATTCTATTAAATAGTTTAGGAAAGTTATTTTTACACTAAACACCAAACTACGTGTAATTCTAAAAAATTCTCTTCCAGTTAAAGCAACGCTGTCATAACTAACTTGAATAATAAACCTTTTGATCTAAAAAAAATTAATTAATACAATTAAAAAAGAAACGAGAGAGAGAAATACTTCGGGGTTATAAATATTAGATGATACAGAATTAAGAATTCTAATTGGATTTTTGCTTTCGTCGTTTACCCAAGCTCCATATAAAGTGACTATGATTACTCGTAGAATTACAGTTCCAAAAGAAACGAAGAAATAAGCTTTTTCAATATTATTACGCATGCTCCTAGTTTTGAAATAAAAAGGCTTATAAAGGTATCAATAAAATTAATTAATAGTTACCTTAAGCTATTAAATAGTTGGATTAAAATAGCAATCAGATTATATCCGAATGAAACAAAGATTATCGGCGAAATAATTTCATCTAATAATTTGCAAAGTTTGCATAATTTATTGTAATGATCTCGGATTTCCCTCCAAGAAACAATTTTTAACTGGAGTTAATTTAATAATTTTAGCCGTCTTACGAGACCCGAATGTTTCTCTTACCTTTTGATTAACAGCGGTCCTAATTTTTAAATTAACTTGCTTAAATCTTATAGCCAGCGGTCCTAATTTTTAAATTAACTTGCTTAAATCTTATAGCCAAAGAGGTGCTCATTATAATAATAAAAGCATCGGTTAATAACCAAAAAAAGAATGCTACAAAATCAAAAAACTACAATTTGATTAAGATTTAAGTTATTAATTAATGGAAACGTACTTTTAAAAGGAATCCAGTGAAAGTGGTATAACCCAATATAATAAAAATATGTTTAAAAAACACGTTTTTAAAGTAATACTCCAAATCATTTCCATCAATTAATTTACATTCCATTGTAATCGAAATTGCATTAATTACTTTCATAAAATATAATGCTAAAAAATAATCATAACAATTTTTTAATCGTTCACTAAATGTTATTGTTACTTATTGCAGTGCAACCACAAATAATAACCGTTATTTTTATCCTTAATTTAACGTCTTTTGTTGTTCCGTAATCAATAAAGTACAACTCCATATCGTTCCATTCTTTCATCAAAACCCCCCATTTTTTAGCCACATTAAAAAACGAAATATTCAAGAAGAAGATGCTTCCATAAAACATGAAATCGCCTAAAAAAATAATAGTAACCCAAAATTTATTAATTTTCCAACAATTAATCAGAAATTACTAATTAAATTGAAATCAGCTCCGTATTTTAAAATTCCATAAATATGAAGTGTTGTTAAAAATCCTATCCCTCCACAAATAAATAAAAAATAAAGAAATTTCGCTGACGAATACCTAAAATAAATTAAATCGGTAGATATTCCATTTACAGGGAGTTGTCCACATAATTGAATAAGAATTAATAACGGTTTTATATCTTTTTGTATTGAACGTTGATTATTATTAAGTTTATTTGTGGGGTGTACACTACTCATTTTCAACACAAACGGGAATCTTGCTAGTTCATTTTCTCATATATAGCACACATAATAATTTGGTTTACTTAAGCACGCGTTACAGTTGGTAAATATTGTTCATATTATAACTTGATAGGTATACATTATCGACAGATTGATCACAGCCACTAATGCGTATGCATTAAGCGGTGATTTATAATGAATTAAGTAAACGCGATGGATTTATACCGATTTTATTAATTGAGTATTTAATTTTTTATTAAGGGAATTATTACTATGTTGATGTTGGGTTAAAACACTGATTTTGCGAATTCGCACCAATAAATGAATGCACGAGTTATTGTTGCTAAAATTAACCTTACTATTTTAGTGAACTCAACACTTAATATGTTTCTTTCAACAACCAGACTTCTGATAAAATTGCAATTAAATACGGAGTCCCACAAGGATCTGTACTTGGTCCGTTGCTTTTTTTTATCATAATAATAATAATCTTCTATCTTCTTCAGACTTCTATCTTGGTTTGAATCTAATAATCTTGCGGTGAACGCGTCCAAGTCTCAGTCAGCCGGTTAAATATCTGGAAGTGATACTTGATTCCAAGCTAAAATGCTTGAGAGATGCTTGAGCGTCATGACTGATTTGCGCTTTGCCGAATGCTGCATCAGGACCAAATTATCTGAACTGAATATTCTGAGTGTTTCATGTATATATATCTAGAATGTCTACAATACATTAAAAATAATCCAACCTCATATCGTAAGATGAACGATAAACACAATTATCAAACTAGAAATAATAATAACGGTATTAAAATAAATTTTACACTATTACGCCACCAAGCTGTTCCATGTGCTGCCTGAGTGTGTCTGGGCCCTTGATGCTAAACAGTTTAAATCTAAAATAAGGTTCTACCTTGGATTTAAAAGTTTCTATGGCATTGATGAATACCTCAAAATTTCGATGACTTGGAGGGCTTGCAGCTAGCATAGATATTGCAGCCAAGATATTACAGCAAGAAGATTCAGACACCAGTTTTAATCGTAAACAACAATGAACAGCGTGCATTTGCACAATAATCTACGACAATTACAGAGATATAGCAGGGATATGGAAGCAGAGGAACAGGCAACATTCCAAGCTATAATCAATAAACCCACCTAAAAGCAGTAAGAAATTTATAACAACAAGAAACAGCTAATAAAACAAAATGGGCAAACATTTTAAAACAGGACTTTTGGACAGATGAAGCACCTTGTACATTATTATATATATAATATATATTTAATAAATTTAGCAGATAACAACTTCATATAATTAAACATTTAACATTAATAAATAATTACTCAAATAAATCCGTTTTCATTCTTGACCTACACATTTTTTCGTGATTATACAGTTGGGAATGTTGCTTTAACTTTTTTCCACACATAAGGCATTCATATTTTTTTTCAACACTATGTAGCAGTTCATGTTGTTTCAACGAAGTGTACCATTTTGTCGAGAACGGACATTTAACGCAATCGTATTTCTCTGGAACCTTTACATCTTCGTTACGTTTACACTTTTTAACAACACCTTAAAACAAAAAATATAATACCGAAATTAATCTTGTTTTTATCCTCAAACATACATTTAACGCCTTTTTGTTTTTTACTATCAGTTTTTTCAATTTTGTTTTGAGTTACCGCGACATCTTTTATTTCGTCGTCGTTCTTCACATCTTCATTTTTAAAATTTGAACTGTTATTTGAGGTTATGTTAACAGTAACATCTTTACAACAGTATAGCTTATTATCTGGCGCTATGATACGGTTCGGTTGTTGATCAAAACACGCGAAATGATAAATTGAGTCGCATTCAAAACATTTTACGTAAATTTTAAGCTGTTTAGAGCACCCTTTGCAAAATCGCAATTGCTCAGACATTGTCACGTTCAAAAATCAAACCAACACTTCCAAAATGGCCGCTGACTTTGGGGACATCTCGCGTGAATTTTAGGAATTACATAAATTGCGTCAAAGCCACCTATATTATTTATATATATCATATATTTCGTTATATTTTTAATTAATTTTATACCTCCCGTTGAAACTTTGTGAAATATAAGAAAATCTAAAAAAGAGAAAAATATTAATATAATTAAAATATTGAATCATCACAAAATATACTTGTTCTAAACTTGATTGGGTTAAAGAGTAATCTGTAATATTCAACGATTGTTTTGCATCCTCCATAATTCCAAACATTTCTGACCACCTCAAACCTTCCGTATCAGGAATATCGAAAGTTATTAAATCTTGATGACTCTCTCTTAAAATGGCCGAAGAAAAGTTGCTTTTAATAAATGTATCTATACGTTCGATATCTTCGTCTTGAAGCTCTGCATTCATTTTTTGAACCTTCACAGTTAACGTATATCCTTGCGAAAATTTATTCTTCAAATGTTGGGTGGTCCCAAGACATTTAAATGATCCATTCACCATAACGGCTAATCTCGTGCATAAAGCTTCGGATTCTTCCATGCTGTGTGTAGTTAACACTAAACATTTTCCACTTTCTCGGATGCGGCATAAAATGTTCCAGACGTTACGTTTTGTTGCAGGGTCCATACCAGTAGTTGGTTCGTCCATGAATACAACCGGATGATGTCCAATTAAAGCGATGGCCGCGCTTAACTTCCTTTTGTTACCACCGCTGTATTTATGAACTTTTTTATGGATGTGTTCAAAAAAATCGAATTCTTTAGCTAAGTTAACCGCAAGATATTTGCTGTCATTATAGGTGACTCCTCTTAATAAGCAGTACATGACCAAGGTTTCCTTTCCGGTGAAATCATCTAATAATGCATCGAATTGGGGACAATACCCAATTAGCTTATTAATTTTTTTCATTTTTGTTTTAGCGTTTAAACCACAAATCCAAGCATCACCACTGGATATAGGAACATCACCCGTTATCATTTTAAACGTGGTTGTTTTGCCGGCACCGTTGACTCCGAGTAAACCAAAACATTCACCTCCTTTAATACCCAAACATAGCTGATTAACAACCAAAATCTTCCCATAAAATTTTGTAATATCTTTTAACACGACAGTATAATCTTCTTTATTAATCTCTCCATCTCTTACTTTAATCTTTTCCTCTAAAACATCGGAATCATCCACATCATCAGATTGAGGAACCCAAAATGTTTTCGTTCTAAACACATACATAATTTTTTCAAAAATCCTGTATTCGATTAACATTAACAACAAAGTTAAAACGGATGCTGTTATAACTAAGAACGTAATATTCCTTCCGATTCCATTATTGTCCCACCCAAGATATAACTCATCATTATCTGCAGATAAATATGTGAAATCAAAACATACCGGGAATTACTATGCATTTGCACTCTCCCACATAAAATGCAACATAACTTAATAGTACAGGCATTGGGTAGTTTTGCAAAGGAAAAATTTTGCTTGGAAAACGTCCTTATGATAACCCTGAGTTTTCGGCCGTCTTAAGAGACGCAGGGCTAAACTCGAATGTTTCTGGTTCTAGGTGTAGTGTTAGTTCTACTTTTCGTTCAATAAAAATATACGACAATCTAACATTGAATAACAATTAAAACTAGAACTAACACTAGACCGAAAACTAGAATCATTCGGATTTAGCCGCACATCTCTCAAGACGGCTAAATCCCAATGATTCTAGTTCTAGGTCTTGTGTGAGCTCTAGTGATAGTGTTAGTGCAATATTAAAACTAACACTAGACCGAGAACTAGAAACATTCGTATTTAGCCACACGTCTCTCAAGACGGCTAAATCCGAATGATTCTAGTTCTAGGTATTGTGTTAGTTCTAGTGATATTGCTGGTGCAATACTAGAACTAACATTAGACCTACCACTAGAAAGATTCTGACATGTTGCATTTAATATGGGACAACGTAAGTAGGTACATCCTGGTTTCTATGGAAATATATTTTTGTATATTGCATTTTAAGTGAAATTCACAATATAAAACTTACCACAACACATAGTTGGATTAATACCGCAGCTTAAACCTTCACTAAAATCATCCCATCGAGCACAAATTTTATTGATAGTGTACTTTAGATATATCTCGTGAAAACCACTTGCCACAGCATAATGCGGCACCAAAAGAAATGTCCAATGCAACGCGTCCGTTAATTTCGTTAAATTCATACTTGGTAACTTTAAAATTTGCATAAACACAAACACGATGAGACCTATATTATAACAAATATTTAAAAATTCAAAATTTCGTTAATATCTATACCAAAAAATATATTAATGAATGTTAAAACGACGTATGCAGTTGAAGGAACTTCGAATTTAAACGCCAACAAATAAGCCTGTGGTAACATTGCGAAACCAAACAATATTAGCAACAAGAACACTCTCCCTAAAATCATAACATCGTTAATTTTACATAAGCTACGTTTTTTTAATACAAACCCAATTCGTCAAATGTAGCAAATCCCGGTTCTTGTAAACACGCTAATGTTATTATCAAACAAATACAAGTAAATAGAAATGTTAAAAAATCCCAAAGATACGCTGTTACCCAGTATACGCTTATATTTACGCCAGAAACAAATTGAAGGTGTTTAGATTTGCAGACACGTTCTCTAACGTAGAAAAGGATGTAAAATGGGGATATTATAGCCATGCAAAAACCCATATTAAAAGCTAATTGGTATCCTATTGTGTCTGAACGAGTCATTCGATCGGACTAGAAATATAAAGTTTAATAAATGTTGATTTCTTTTTGTTGACAAAAAAAAGAAATCAAACCGAGAACTTACCTGAGTTTGATCATTATAAGGAATAGGATGATTACTGATCCTAATATTGTATTTATCCGAATTCATAATCTCCTGCAAAACTGAATTAATAGTATATTGCAAGGCAAGTGGAGGTGAATGATAGGGTTCATTATTAAAAAAGCTTATAATTTTGTCACCATCAAAACTAGCTCCTATTATATAACGCATTCTTATAATATTAATTAAGGTTTCTCCCTAAAACATTTTTTTTATGTTTCTTCTCACGGAAAATTAATTAACTCACGAGATTTAATAAATTCGTTGTGAAATTTTCCTGCCCCCAATCTAATATTTTTCGGTTTTCTTTCGTTAAAATCTTCTTATATCTGTTATAGAACGGGTCGTTTAAATCAGTAGTAGTAATTGGGGTGATAGGATTTAGATAAGTATCTAATGATAAATCTAATCTGGCAGGTTCTGTATCGTTATTTTTAAATTTCGCTACTGAAATAGCAATAATCAAGAACACTATGGGAATCACATTTTGAATCAGAAATAACAACCATGATCTAAATGTTGATAACATTTTCTTCATCATCATAGCCATCGTTTGATTGATTTTTAATCGGAATCCAGTTACAGTGAAATTATCACTTATATTCACTAAAAAGCCACTATTAATCAAATAATTATGATTTATTTTAATTAAGGTAGGCTTACATCTCGTATATGAAGAATTGTTAATATTACGTGAATCGCTTTCTTCTTCTTTGTGATGATCGGCACCAACTCTATAAAAATTAAATAAAATTAAATGGGATTTTTATGATTTTTTATGTATACTTCATAAATACTTCTTCCATTGTTGTTAATGATATTCCAAAAGTGGCAATTTGTAATCTATTTGCTTGATTTTCGAAATCCTCCAGCATTTCTCGAAAAACCGCGGATTGTTCTTTGGGTAAAAGGTAGGTTAATTCTGAGCCAACATCGCTTTGTACTTCAATGTTAGGGATATATTTTCTAAGAAGATTCGTGATATCGTTTACGTTGCAATTTGGTTTCTTTTCCATCACTAACGAGTATCCAGCACCGTATTTTTTTTTGAGGAAAAAACTTGTTCCAAAACATTGCAATTTACCTCCAGAAATAATTGCAATCCTATCGCCTAATAAATCGGCTTCATCCATGTAATGTGTACTCCACAAAATCGTTCGATCCTTTTTTTGTTGATGAATTAAATCCCACACAACTCTTCTGGTAGCAGGATCCATACCCGCCGTTGGTTCATCGAACATACACACTTTAGAGTTGCCACATAAAGCAATTCCAACACATAATTTTCTTTTCATGCCACCAGATAATGTTTTTGATTTTTTATTAGTCTAAAAAAAGTGTGCAAACATCTTTGCGGCATGCTGCCAGTTTTTACTTAAAGTTTTTTTTACCTTAGTGGATAAATCTAAGAGATCAATATACTTCTTAATTTCATCTTCGACTTCTTGTTTATGCGTGACTCCTTTTAACTTGGTGAAGAAATATAAATGTTCTTTAACGGTTAAATCATCGAAAAGAATGTTATGTTGTGGGCAAAACCCCAAACTATCCCGAACGTTATTAATTTTAGTCCTTACATCATAACCATTTATTACAGCCGTACCGGAAGTTGGAATTAGCATCCCCGTTAACATCGATATAGTCGTCGTTTTTCCCGCACCGTTATGGCCAATTAAAACCGTAATTTGATTTTCGAACATGTTTAAGGATAAATCGCGAACGGCGACGTTTTTATTCGAATAAATTTTTGTTAAATGTTTAATTCTTATCCCGGGGTTTAAATTAATCGGTTCATTTTCGTACGTATCAGTTTCTTCTATTCTATCAATTTCGTCTTCAACTTCTTCAATATGAAATAAAATACGGATTGGATTGCGAATAAAATAAATCTTACTTTTAAATCGTTGATGACACCAATAAGAAGCAGCAAATGGGTAATACCAAGGTTTACCTAATCCATATTTCCCAGGAAATACCGATTCTATGTACATAGCAATTAATAAATAAATTATTGCGTCAATTATCAGCATTATAATAACATGTCCTAAAGTTAGAGTGTCATTCGCATGGACTGAACTGAAAATGGAGTTCCATTGTATCCCTGCAAAAATCATTAAAACGTATTTATTGAGAAAAAAAATGTTTACCTTCTCCTGTTCCTTCAAACATAACAAATAATTGAAACCCATAAGCTAATGCGGTGTTACCCCCAAGCATAGCAAGGAGTTTTAAGGATAAACTCAAGTTGTTATAACTTTCGGCAAGGAATAAATAGGGGCAATAAGATAAGAACCATACCAATGCAGCAACGGTAGAAGCGGTGTTAGCTAGAAATTGACTTAATTGTTTTAAGCAATATTTATCTTTCAAATCATACCCAACCTTTCGTAAAGAAAACGCTAATAAGAAAACAATAGGTAATAGTCGAAAAAATATAAAACAACAAAAACACAAACAATACCATACCATCGCTGTAGGTAAAAACGCTAACATGAGAATCTTGATACCAAGAAACCTTCATCAATATCACCATAGAAATAATAGAAATTAAAAGTAAGGTGAGTGTGTTAAAAAATCGCGCCATCCAATGTAAATAATTTGGTAACCCCATGATTTTCATCGCTTCCTTCAACTGCGTTTCTTTTTCGTATGTGATTACCTTAACGGTGTTGGTGCAAGCATAACTGAAACCAAACATAACAAACATTCCTACGAGACGTTTCATGTCTTCTAATAAAGAATCGCTAATCCAAGCTGGATATGGATATCGCTGCATTATAATTGTTGGCAGATTTTTTCTAGCAACATTTTCTCGTGCCATGTGCATATTAATAATTTCTAAGGAAATGTCGTGTTGCAAACTTAAGAATCCTTCGAAGTAATAATCTAAATAGCAGTAATTCAAACCAGAATTAATATTATATATGTTAATTATGTGATTTAAAACTAATGCATACTGATTTATATGCAACTTTTCTTACTCGGTGTTGAACCAAAGTTGTTGTTGTAATCTCTGGGTCCTGGTATTTGATGTATAGGAAATATTAAGTGAGTAAACCAATTATTTGAAGACGGAGATGTACTTCCGGCGGTGCGCAACTCTCCGGGAAATCTATAAAAAATTTTAATTTCTCGTTTATCTAGTTTTAATTGTTATTCAGCGCTAGATTGTTATATATTTTTATTAACATTAGCAGTAGAAGTAACAGTAAACCTAGAAACATTCGGGTTTAGCCGTCTTGAAAGACGGGCTAAACCTGAATGTTTCTAGTTCTAGGTCTAGTGTTAGTTATAGTGTTGGAACTAAAACTAGAACTAACACTGGAACTAGAAAGTTTCTTCAGACTCACGGCTAAACACGAAACTTATATATATATATATATATATATATATATTACCTTAAAATAACTTCCATATCTTTAGTAATATTATCCTTATCACTTAACATATCATCAAATTGTACGCCAGCAAACATAACATCTTCATTTAATTCTAATGTTCGTTGTAATTCAGTGGAGTTATCAACGCACGATTGGGATAGTGAAATATACTTGTTATCAATATTACTCATAATGGTATTTAACTCGGCATTTTTACAGGGTGACCAAAAAAGTTTAGCACTACAATAAAAATATGTTATACTATATTAAGAAAAAAATTTTTAAATCTTCGTACTCTGGTACCAAGTCTCCGGGGTTTATAACTGGCGAGAATCCCTTAAATTCTAATCTGCCTCGTTCTTCCGGATTAACCAACCTTCGTATGAAAACTAAGAGCGCAACGAATAAAACAGGAACTAAGATAAAGATTAAGGTTTGTATTGGATGTCTTCGTTGTAAAAGATAATTCTTCCAAAAGAGTAGACGAAATTTATGAAAATTTCTACCCATTCAATTCTCTTCAATAATTTTAAAATGTTGATTTTAAGTCAAGAAAATAGATGCTGTCAAAGAAGACATAAATGTATTAGTTATGTGTCGAATTTGTAGTTGATTAGACATTTAAATTATGTATTTTGTTAAAATCATATTTTTGTATGGAATTGTATTAATTATAAAATGGCGGGAGGATTTTTCCGTGAGTACAAATTAGTTTATTAAATGCTCCATGATCGTTGTTTCTAGGGATAATTCCATGTAGGGTAATTTTGGGTATTCTTGGAACTATCGGTATGGCTATAACGTACGGTTTAAAATACAATTTGAGACTTGCCTTCTTTGGAATGATAAATTATGTAGCTTTAGCTAATATCAGCGAAGTGGGCCTGTACGAGTTCTGCCCTGATAATGACTCCAAAAGCAAATATGTTTTAACGGTACGCTTAACTATCTCGATAAATTATGAAATACAATAAAATCTAACGACACAATTTATATGAGAAACGTTCGGCATACATCCGGGTTATGTCCTAGCTTATTACGTTTTTCAGTTATAGTGTTCACATATACATATAAACTTCATAAGTAAAAAATAGTAATTAACAATTGATATGAAAATAATGTTTATTTATACTTTTTCAGGAAGGTCCTTTTCTTTGGGCAATACATCTTCAAGAAATAATCTTCTCATCGTACTATTTGGGTTATTTATTTAGTATATTCCCAGGCGCTCTGCTGGCCGAAAATTTCAGCGCAAAATGGACGATGTTCTGTGCAGTTCTTATAAATGTTATTTGCACTGCAATGACGCCGTTTAGTGCAAACCTGCATTATATTATGTTAATAGTAATGAGAATTGTAGCGGGTATTGGTGGAGGGTTAACGTTTCCAGCGATGCACGTTTTATTATCAAAATGGTCGCTACCATATGAAAGAACGATAATGTGTGCCGCGGTTTATTCTGGAACTGCATTAGGGACCAGTTTAAGTAGCATATTTACACTACTTATAGAGTCCGGTTTGGATTGGAAATGGGTTTTTTATATAATGGCTACTGCAAGCGCTGTTTGGTTACCATTGTGGATAGGTTTTGTTTATGACACGCCGGAAAAATCACCAATTATTACTGAAAATGAAAAGTCTTTAATTAAGGATTCTGTGGGAGACGTGTACCCAGAATCGAAATTTCCTGCGAAAGCAATTTTTACATCTTTACCGTTTTGGGCTCTTTTGATAGCCCATACAAGCATTAGCTGGGTATGGTACACTTTGAGCATCCTAACATTTGTCTATCATAAATCTTATTCCAAACTTGCGATTGCCTCGATGAATGGTTACTGGTTCATGGTTCTATGGATTGCCAGTTTAATTATTGCTGGAGAATTCCATCGACATATGAGAAAGGAAACTACAACTACAACAAAAGCAAGAAAAGAAGTAATTATAACATGTAGTATAATTGCAATAATATGTTTCGTTCTGCTATGTTTGGTAGGATGTGTTGATTGGTTTACGACTATATTTATTAGTGTAGGTTACTCTAGCGTATTGGCGATTTTTCTTGGAATACTTCCAAATCATATTGAATTAGCACCAAATCATGCTGGTATTTTGGTTGCTTGTACAAATTTTTCGGCAACTTTACCAGCAATTCTTATACCAATATGTGTAGGTGCTTTATTGGAAATATACGTAAGTATACTTAAGTGCTTTAAATTACTTATATTAGTATGAAATGTTTTTATAGTCTGTACTATTTTCGTGGACAATTATATTTCTGGTTGGAATTGCACTATGCGTTTTAACAACATTCATGTATGTAATTTTTGGTTCTGGCGATGAACAGCCCTGGAATGATGAATAAATTAAATTAAAAATATGTTCAGAATATGTTCAAAATTTGTTTATCACTATAGTAAAAATATTTATTAATTGTGTCTGAAATATTTCTGTATATGTATCCAACAAAAGAGTTTCAGAGAAAGAAATTGCTGCATCACAGGATATTCCAGAACCATCAAATAATCCTAAATCAGGGATTTCCATATCTAAAATAGATGAGACCATAGTTAAACTACAACCTTGATTTATAATTTTGAGGAGTTTTAGCTGCAAGTGTGGCGAAGTAAAATAAATTTATCTCTTTCTTATATCTATTGCATTTTAATTTTCTCTTTATAATCTCTAAAGATAACGAAGAAATGTATAATATAAAGTAATATTTTAGGATTACTAATTTTAAGTATTGAGTCATATGAGGGTAATTAATGTCTTTATCTAATCTTTATATTTTACTGCGTTAAAAAAATCGTTTAATGAGTTAGTCCCAAATAAAGTTTTCTGTTATGAACATTTTAGATTTAAACGATTATTCTTTACTTGGAATAATCGAATATCTTAATTCAACGGAATTATGGCAATTAAGCAGGTAAATAATTAATTTAACACCATTTCAAATTAAGCTATTAAACCTTGATTAAAGGACGTGTAAAAAATTTCACAATTTAATCAAACATAAAAAATTATGGTGGATAATTGATGCTAGAGATTCCCCGCATGATCTCAATAAGATCACTTTTTGCTTCAAAAATATAATTGATGTAACCAAAGAAATTAGATTTTGTTCGGAGAGCAGGTGTGGAGAAATTATTCCGAACGATTTTATCGGATATTTAAAATACACAAATTTGGTTATTATAGCTTTGGAGAATCAAAAAATATCTGGCAATAAAGTAAATATAAAAAGTGTTATCGTCTTGAAAGACTAAACCAAAAACTTCAAAACATTCGGGTTTAGCCGTCTTTAAAGACGCATCAAACATTTAAAAATTACCTATATAATATTATTAAAATTTCATATTATAGATACAATTAAGTGAGTTCCCTCAAAGCTTGATTGAACTGAGCTTGAGAAAAACATACGTGACTCATCCATCCACGTTTATCGAAAACAGCTCGGTTCAAATGAAAAACTTAAAAGTCTTTATATTAGATGAATGCTTTTGGGTGAATGGAAAATTTATTTATATATTAGGAACATATTCTGCTTTAGAAATCTTATCGCTTTATAAATGCAAAAAATTATTCGATTTTGATATAAGATATCTCACCGATTTTAATAAACTACGAATTATTGACTGTCGCTTTTCCGGATTAGGAAACGAATTTTTTAAGTACATGACTCAAAAAACCCAACTACAAGAAATGTATTTCGAAAATTACCTAACAATGTATTTCCCCACAAAAATCGAACGCGAAAAAGAATTAAACTCGGGTTCCCAGCCTAAAAAATACTCGTACTATTCTAAAGTGGACGATATTGCGTTATGGGATAAAAACGTTGTGAACCAACATTTTGGCGAGGATTGCGATACTCGTAAGCGTGCCTATGGACATGTGAATTATTGTGGAACAACGCTTTATTCCGAAGCTCAAGCTATCGAAGGGAACGATAACAATTTTAAAAGTATTTTATATGAACCACCTTATGATAAGTGTACGTGCGGATTAAATTCTGAAACAATTCGTATAAATACAGCTAAAACGGAATATTTGAAAAGAGATATAGGGCATGATAGATTTCCAAGAGAAGTAAATGATCCATTTGAATTAAGAGAATGTACAGGATATATTTATGAGTTGAGTTTTAGAGCTAATGATCCTAGAAATTTTAGGAAACATGAATCCGAAATATGTATCAGAAATGATTTAGACCTATCAATTTTTGAACATACAACAGATGGTAAGTTACGCTATAATAAACCTCGACCTCACTGATGAAAAAAAATTTAGTGGATAGTGGATATGATATCAATCAAATAAATTTGATTATTTTTTAGGTTCTGATGATCCCAGAAATTTTATAATACATCATCAAGATATAGACTTCAACGAAAGTAAGTAACGACTAAATAATCGAATAATCAAAGTTTCAAGTTGAGGGAATATATTATAAAATTTTATTTTTATTTTGTAGTTTATCCTCAAACATATAGGAGATTTACAAAGCCTGGAGGTATTTATGTAAACATATAATTATTTATTATTTAATATTTTCTTGTCTTTAGAAAGAAGAAAATACGAAGAATTATTTAAAAAATCCAACCTAGTTAATATCCAAAAATTATCTCTAAGAGGTTTCATTGGAATAAATGATATGTCATTAAAAGACATGGAAAACTTAGGTTTGTCATTATTAGATGTAACAGGAACTGTTGTGAGCAAAGAAGGTATAGAACAGTTTTTAAGATTAAATCCCGATTGTAGGATTATCCACGAAATTATGTGTACATGTAAACCAAAAATTCATTTTTAATTTTATATTTATATATTAATTTCTAATAAAGGATCCAATTTTCTGTTACTTTAATAAAAATCACGTTCTTCTCGTTGAGGCGAAGTCTTTAACACAATTTACCTAAAGTGATGGACGTAAAGAATTCGCGCTCACCATTCTAACGAAGTTATTTCAATAATCAACAAGTCCTCCTTAAAACCTGTGACATCCTTCAGGACTTTTAGTACCATAAGTGGCGGGGTTCGTTCGTGGAATTCTTAAACAGTTAATATTCCAATAGAGAATCATCTGTGACGTCACAAAACGTTGAGGGATAAAAGCGGGATGCGAACCCAAGAAGATGCAGTATCTATCGAAACATGTTCAGATACAAGTAAGAGTCTTAGCTTTGGAGTTTTCAAGTTCAAAAATAAAGTATTGTTTGTAGGTCTATGATGGGATTGAAAAATGGATTCGCCGGCGTTTTCCTTTTGGTTGTTACCCTATACGTTTTGTCTATTCAGAAAAGTTACACAGTCGCGAATCCTTCAGGAAATAATATTGAAAGTAACCGATTGCCTAGACCCAAACCTTTTGTTCGATTAACCCCGAAGAATGTATATTCGAGATTGAAGCCTGATCTAACGGATTTCATCGGTAAGTTTTTTTGTAAGGAAAGATTTATTGTAATTATAAATTTTTTTTAGTGGACGATGATGAATTCACGGAAATGTTAAAACGCCAAACAGCCGATGATTACGGTCATTTAAGATTTGGAAAAAGAGAATTTGACGATTACGGCCACATGAGATTTGGAAGAAGAAATTCAGATTCTTAAACAAGAAATTAAATAATGTAGTGAATAGAAAATAATTAAATAAAGTTAATAGCTTAGTACTCGCTTTGTTTTCAATAATTCATAAACCATATAATCCCAAGAATATTTAGATTAGAGTTATAACAAATCCGATTAGACGAGAAGCATTTGTAAGATTGCCCACCTTTTAAAAGTCACGGCCAGTGTCACCACGCACTTTAGTAACAAGTAACCAGTTTAAACATGATGAAATCCAAATTACGACAAATTTGGTTTATGACCAAAATCGATAATTGGTTTAAAAATCAATACAACGCTTACACTTACAGTGGGTTTATATCACCGCGACTTTCCAATGTATCAAAAATAATTCGAAGAGGAAAAAGTGATAAAAGCGAATATTTAGTTGACGACAAAAAGAGGGAAAAAGAAAATAGAAAAATCCGGGTTATAATTGAAAATCAAAGAGGAAAAATTCCTGTTTATCCGTCTTCTTTACGAACTTTTTCAATTGGAATTGATAAATCGCAGTGTTTTGTATAATCGTTTTATAAATTCTTTATTGTTTTATAAAAGTTAAAAGTGTTGAATATCATAGTCTATTTATATTAGTCAGAAGAAGATCTTTTTTTCATGATGAGGTGAAATCTTTGAATCACTTAACAGGTAAATATACAGTAAAGTTTCTCTAATCGGGATTAATTCAAATTAATCGACTCCGAATTAGCGAAATATCAATTAATAAGAAAAACGTAATAAATAATAAAGCTTTATTTATAATGAATATTATAATTAAACAATACATGAATCAAAAATTAAAGAAAACTGTTAATCCATTATTTTGATTGTGCCAACTTCACTCATATAAAATTTGACAACCTCAATTTTGACATTTCAAATATAAATTTTAGGTTAATTTGATTTAGTTATAATTTATAATTAATAAAAGAAAATAATAATTTTGAATAAATTGCCATAGATTATAGATTCAAAAGAGAATAATCGAATTATGGAAATGGAAGAAACAACTTCTCCAGACGCTGGAAAAGTAGATTTAGCCACTTTTGAATTAACACAAAGAAAATTAGTGGCTGAACTCGCAATGAGAAAGGTAATAAAATCTAACTAAATTAATAATAATTTAAAACCGATTATTACTATCATTTTAGAATCAAGTTGAACAATTAAGACAACAAGAAGATATCCAAAACATGAAAATCCACGAACTTCAATTAAAATTGGACTCCGCAACATCTCGAATTTCCGATTTAGAATTCGAGTTGGATATAGCGAAAAATACGTGCGCTTCATACAACATACAATTAAAAAACGTTTCCACCTTGCAACAAAAAACCCTCCAAGACAAATTGATTTCTGAAAATCAATTGTTAAAAGATCTTTTACAAAAATCCGAATTGGAGCAAAGAAAACTGCTTCGGAAAATGGAAGATCTAACCGCTTTAAACGAGCTGCAAGTTTCGAATAAAAACGATTTTCTAAAACAACAAAGTAATTGTAAAGAGAAAATCGAGGAGTTGTTTAATACTTTTAAAAATCTCGAAAAGGAATCGGTTAAAATGAAAAGTATTCAAGATAAATTAAAAGATGTTAAAGATCACCAACATTATATTGATGTTTATAAAGCACTTGCTAAAAATGCTATTGAGAAAAAAGATCAAATTGAAGATGAGTATTTAATGGTTAAAACTAAGTTAGATGTTCTTACCGATTTATTAGACAAAAATCCGCTTCCTCAACCCGTGTCAATTATTAACGTAGAAGAAGTATTTAATTTAAATTATTAAAACGATTATTTTTATCAATTAATTTTTAGTATAAACAAGAAATTGAACGTTTAAAACAAGCTTTAGAAGATGAAAGAAATTTAACAATTCGCCAAAACGCTAGAATCATCGCCGAAATCGCCCAGAATGTTACATTATGTTTAAAAATCGATTTATTAGAGAAAGGAGGGTCCAAATGTATGAAGGATATGTGTTTACAAACTGAAAATTAAAACCAATTTTGTATTGTTAATATAAATTGTATATTTAGTAGTTGAAAACATTTACAAACAATTATATCATTAAAATAAAAACTATATCTTAAGTAAAGAACAATATTCAAGCAAAAACTAAAATCCTAATTTCATAACAATATCTTTTTATTTATGTTTTAATTTGTTTTATTTAAGCGAGTCAAAAAATTATTTTAAAAATTCAACAAAAGCGAAAGAAAGCAAAAAAAAGAAGGAATGTTTCCTTATTTTTTTTATATATAAATCTTATATACAGTTATTTACATTATTTACACAAAGACTTATTTAAGAAACTTACTCTAGAAACTCGAACGAAACCTACTTGGTACCCAAGCGCGTAATGGTGAAAAGACTGAGCGTTTTGATTTAGCACGGCTTTGCTTATACTTTGCATTGGATACAAATCCACTTTGTTGATGCTATGATAATTAAAATCGTTTAAAAATTTGTCGTGTTTTTTACTGGGACCATCAGATCCTTGTCTCTACAAAACATAATTTAAAAACTTTTATTATTAAATTATTAAGGTATTATTACTATATTTAAATTTGTATCCATATCACAAAAAATCAATCCATAACGATTTTTAACATCTTCATAAGTTCTTGGCCCAAAATTAATAGCATCCTCAGGATTTAATCCTTTCTTTTTTAATTGGTTCAACTTATTTTTTTGTATCGCCTTATTTTCATCCTTTGTTAATTTTTTTGAATAAATTCCAGTGTAAGATAACAACTAAAAATATTAATAATTTATATTAATATTATAATAAAATTTTCTCAAAGAGAATACATTCGTCAAATTAAAAGGAATGAGATTATGATAATATTAGTGATATATGACCCAAATGAGGATAAAAGAGTACAATTAACATTTATCATTAGAACTAACACTAGACATAGAACTAGAAAACTATGGGGTTTAACCGTTTGTGTTGCAAGGCGACTAAACCCGAATGTTTCTAGTTCTAGGTCTAGTGTTAGTTCTAGTTTTACACTAGCACTATCACTAGAATTACACAAGATCTAGAATCATTTAAGTTTAGACTTTTTAGCTGATAGTATAATATAATAAACTTTTAAAACACATTTATATAAATACTTACAAATCTTGGTTTGACTTTTTTAAGATCATAATCATATTTATCATAAAGTTGATCAGCCATACATATAACAACCTCTCCCGTATCGCTACAACTAATAAACAAATTCCCCCAATCGTTTGAAGTCACGGATGTTACCGTGCTATTAAATACAGTGAATGTTATGGCTTCGTGGTCGCAGTTATGTTCGCGAAAAGGAACCAACCAAGATGCTACAGTTGTTGTGTTATCATAACAAACTAAAGGAATGAGCCAATGGATGCTACATGTTAACTCAGTTATTGGATACTTTCGACTTATAAAAATACAATCTGATGTATCATTTAAATCCCAAAGTTTCATGTCTTTAAATGTTGATGCTGTTATGAGAAATTGATTTCCATTGGAATGATGAGTTAAAAGAAGTGCTAAAAAAATATATAAATTATTTAATTTCATTTATTTATTTTTTTAACGAACCACTTATTGATTCGCATTCCGCACTAAAACATTTTAATGGATACAAAACTTCTTCAATAAACATTTTTTCCAAAGAAAAAATTGCGACGATTCCATTAGAATATCCTACAGCAATATATTTGTGTCCTTTCGCTTTTGTCCATGAAGTTTTCGTTGGAAAAAACTCAATTTCTCCAATATTAGCATCAACTGACTTGGTTAAAGATAATTTTACTAAAGGTTTTTTTTCGAATAATTTACCACTTTTTTGGCGAGGTTGACAAATTGAATAAATATAAACAAACTTATCCCCAGTTGCAACAGCAATCAAACCTAATCTTTGTACTTCATCATTATTTTTAAAGGGATCATAATAACCAGAAGGACACCACTCTAAATTTGTAATCAAACCATACTTATGACCCAAACAAAATTCTAATTTCGGTTTAAATTTGGAATTTTCCCCGTTTTTTAATGGACCAAAGTTCCAAAATTGGATCAAAGATTTATCGTAATGATTTATTGTTTTTAAATAACTCTTTTCGGGGTTTAAAACGCTGATTGATAATATTTGGTTTTCGTTTAAATGTGTGTGGGGAGTTGGAATCCAAACGAGACAGTTTATTTTGCCGCCACAAAAAATTGTTGAGGTTCCATCGGATGAAATATCGCTTTCAAATAATTTATATTTTCTCCAATTAAAATCTTGATCGAGCGGATTTTTTAAATCATCTAAGAGCAGTCTTGAAACATCAATCGATTCTGTTTGTTTAGGGAGATAAAAGAAGATATCTTCGTTTTTAATACTTTTAAATTGGTCTTTATCTACACCATTTTCAGCGAAAATGTCTTTTTCAGCAAAATAATGATCTGCACTAAAAAAAAATTGATCATCAATTAATCTTGTTTTAATGTTAAATTTAAATCTCACAATTCTTTGGTCCATTTATAAGCAAACGAAAATACATTCCAAGATTTTTTATGAAAATTAATCTTTTCCATAAATTTGACTTTATGTCCAACACTTTTAGTGACTCCTTTAGATAAAGATGAATTCATTTTATCAATTTCTATATCATCAAAAGGATCGATTTCTTCCTCCCCATCAGCTTCAAAATTCTCATCATCATCCACATCTTTAATAACATAACAATCAGTTTCATCGTGTGTTTTTATGTGCTGACCAACTTCTTTACGATTAATAAAAGTTTTTAAACAAAAATTACAAGTAAATATCTAAAATAAAAGTAAATTATTTATTTTTAACCCGTTAAAATTTTATTAATACTTACATTTCCCTCGATTTTTTTATCACAGATATTTAAGTGTTTGCATAGATCCTCAACAGTTTCACTTTTAAAACTACAATCGCTATAAATACAATTTGTAAAGGTATGCGTTTCAATATCACTTTTAAATTTGTTCATCACATCATCATTCGATGTAGTAAAATCGAAATTTTTAATAAATTTTTTTGATATTGCTGTTTGATTTAAATCTTTTTCTTTTTCCCGAAATTTTTTTATACTATTTATAGCTCTAGAAAGATTTTGTTAGTAACATATACATACATATTTGGGGTTCAAAAAAACTTTGACAAAATAATAAGTTAAAAGCTGATGCCAAGGCTTCAATAAGAGTAAGGATAGACAACTGTTGAGAACACAAGGAAACTAGTTCATGAAATGGAAAAGACAAAAAAGAGTTGCTGCCTCTCTTTCGCCAAGGAAATGAAGCAGTCAGTGATGCTGGTTTTAGCATAAAGGCACCAACTCCTAAAAACTCCTGAAAACATGGTGAAATGTGAGGACAAGACTTCGCGTGTTCAACAGCAACGTATCACCTGGGTCACCAAGGAGATGTCAAACAAATTACAAGTGTTCATTAATCAATGCCTGCGACGCATTATAAACGTATGGTGGCCGGAAGTGATATCCAATGAAGACTTGTGAGAGAAAACAAACCAACAATCTGCAGTTGAAATGTTAACGTTTGATAGGAACCCTCAAGGAGCATGCTTTAGTAGGTTCAAAGCGGTGTAGAAGTCTATAGCAAGTACTTCTGCTTGAAAAATGGTTATGTCCAAGCTGAGGGGCAATTTAATGCGGCTATTTGGTCTACTAATGCCCATAAAACTAGTCCATGAAGTGGAAAAGACAAGAAAGAGTTGCTGCCCCTCTTTCTCCAAGGAAATGAAGCAGTTAGTGATGCTGGTATTAGCATTAAGACACCAAGTCGTAATGAAATTAAAACAACCCTCAAGATTAGTATTGGAAAAGCACTAGGTATAGCCAACATTGATTATAAAGTTACTTGAGAAAATATGGACACAAGAGAAGATGCCTAGAGACTGGAAACTTCACGTGTTCAGCAGCAACGTCAGTCCTCCTGTATAGGTATGAAACATGAAAGGTCACCAAGGGGATGTCAAACAAATTACAAGTGTTCATTAATCAATGCCTGCGACGCATTATAAACGTATGGTGGCCGGAAGTGATATCCAATGAAGACTTGTGCGAGAGAACAGACCAATAACCCGCAATTGAAATGTTAACGTTTGATTGGAACCCTCAAGGAACACAGAGACGAGGGCCTCTCAAAAAAGATATGGGAAAGAACTATTGAGGAAGAAGCCTTTGGCAAAATGAGCACAAGAAAAACCTGTAAGACAAGTTTTATGATTTAAGATAGGTGCAAAAATAACCATTTTGTCAAAGTATTCTTGAAACACCTAAGTTATTATAATCAATAAAATAAAAACTCTAGATCACTATGGTTTTATTTACTAACTGAAAAATAATTAACCATCCCACGCTAGAGTTTTCTGTTATTGATAAATATATTATAATAAGAATAAAAAAATCATATACTTCATAGCTGCTTTCCTCGGTGTTAAAACATCCTCTTGTTTATCACCCAGAATAATTGCTTCTTTAGCGGAATGAGACAGTTGCATATGTATACCTAAACTAACTGGTAACATTCTTCTATAACAAATCTTACATTCCACTTTTAAAGCATCTAATTCATGTATTGACTTTTGACATTGTTGTTTATGAGAAATATAACCGACAGCGGATTTCTTTTTAGCACCACACAATTCACAAGTTAAAACCTTTTTTTGTTTGCACAATTGCGTCAACAATTTCGTTACTAATTTAGTATCGTCCAAATCCTTTCAAATAAAATTAAGAATTGATGAGAGACTGAACAAAACAGCTAAAAATCGGTTCGTACAAAAAATTTCTTACCAACGGTTCGTCTCCATCTTTCCAAGCCAAATTGTTATGTTTAGTAGACTTATGAATGGACCATTGTCTTTTTGGTATACTCTTCTCGCAAACGGCGCATTTAACATCGTTTTGAGGATTTGTATTAGAACCACTTTTTCTAAACAACAAGAGAAGAAGGTTGAAGAATAACTTGAACAGGCTCAATAGGGGAAAAGAAAAAGATGAGAAATTTTTTACATAAACTCACTTCTGGGAAAATTGTTTGTCGTTTTTCTTCTTGACGACTTTGGGAACATTATTGATGACCTCGCCGTCAGCCGATGATGTACCGGGATCGGCATCGGCGAAACTTCGCGATGCTTTACTCGATGAAAAACGTCGCGCTCGCTTTTCAAAGTCAAAACACACTTTATTCTTACACTTTCGTGCGTGCTTGATAAACTTGACCGCACTGGAATAGTCCTCTCCACACACCTCACACACAAGGGCACCGTACTGTTTTAGGGTAACTTTTAGAGTCTTATACACTAGATCGTAGTTCTCTAAATCCTAAAAACAAGAATGTAGAGATTAGATCTTTTTGATGAGATGAGCGATGAATGAGTGGAGAGAGAAAAAAACTTTTATTCATTTATTTTTTTTTATTTAAATTATCTAAACAAAATTGTAAAAATAATTCTTTTGAAGAAATGATTGGCTTTGATTTATTAAAAACCTTTAAGATTTCTCACATCATCATCAAAGAAAAACCATTTATTCTTTTTAAGAAAAAATTTATTTATACTCTATTCAAAAAAAAAATGTTAATAAGAACAAAATATACAATTAATAGAAAAACTCTAATTGATTGCACAATGTACAGCAAACTTCATAATTAAGAGTCTCATGTACAGAAATTATAATTTGCAAAAGAAAATTCAAATACAAAATGAACAAAACAAATATGAACACATTTGAAACTTTTTTCCTAAATATAGACTTAGCCGTAAAAGTTAGAAAAATATTCAAATATTTTTTTTTTATTTAAACTTTTTTTCTGTACGCGCACGTTTATTTTTTACTTGCAACCAATCAAACTATTCAAATACTTAAACGATTTCTTTCACAACAAGAAATCCCCAAAAAACAATTTATGAGATTTTCTAATTTTGAATATGATCGGCGACAATTACTTTCTTTTATTTCTGATTAAGAATGTGCGAGAAAAAAGAAAACAAAGTACAAAAAGAAAAACCTTACAATTAGAAAATAAACCGACCTAAATGCGAATTGGGTGATCCGCATTCGCCCAATTCTCAAACTAACGTTGTTGATTTCACATCTGCTCGAGCTCACGTTGAGGAACCTCCTGTATTTAAAAACAATTTCAAATTAACTTACGTCTTAAGAGATCATTCGATTACTTTTTGAGTGAGACGGTGATCTTCTCCAAACAACTTGGACGCGGCATATTCACACATACAGTACCCTCAACTACATTTTATTATTAAAACCTAATTCATTAATTTCTTGTGTTTTGAATCAGTTGGAAACGATTATAAGAAATAAGTTGCTATAAACGTAATTATATCAAATGTAAAAATTAATTTATTTACATATTAACCTTCTATAAGAAAATTTATCATTATTATACAGTGAATTTCACTTAAGATGCAAGTTTGGCCGTCTTGAGAGACGTGCGACTAAATCCGAATGTTTCTAGTTTTCGGTCTAGTATTAGTTCTAGTTTTACGCTACCACTATCACTAGAACTAACACAAGACCTAGAACTAGAATCATTCGGGTTTAGCCGTCTTGAGAGACCTGTGGCTAAATCCGAATGTATCTAGTTCTAGGTCTAATGCAAGTTCTAGTGACAGTGGTGGGTAGCGCTAATTAGTATAAGACCTTTTTCCAAGCAAAATTTTTCCTTTGCAAAACTACCCACTGCCTGTACTATTAAGCTATATTGCATTTTATGTGGTTACACCATTCATAGATTGCGAATTATATGAAATTTACGGTATAAATTCCTTAGTACACATATTGTACTAAACTGTTGACTTATATTAGACAGAGAGTTAGAAAGGCAAGTAGATTATTAGGGTAAATGGAGCTGGGAGAAACTAATCTTGAAAATCGAACGCTGTTAGATTTCTTTTTATGGGATTACTGCATCTGGAATAAATGTCTTTCTATTTCTTTAAAATAGAGGAAGCAAATTTAATAAATTTTTTTATAGAAGATTAACAACATTTTTAAATAAAAACGCATGATACAATTACGAATAATAACAAACACATTAACTAGATTACTATAATCAATACAAATCTGAACAAATAATTGCGTTTGCATCATGAGCAATTGAAGTGCTGCATGTGCGAATATACCACAAAAAATTAAAAACTTACCAAAGGTGGTTCGCCAACCTTCCAAGCCAAATTATTGTGGCGTCCTTGTTTATGTTTCACCCACCCAGATTCAGAGTCCAAAGTCTCCTTACACACACCACAAGTGATGGTATTGTCTTCATTGTCACTCTCCTCTTCCGGTTTGTCAGATTCTACTTTCTCCACGTCCTTTTCGTCATCTTCTTGGTCATTTTTTTCAACTTTACTATCATTACTGTCCTTCTTTTCAACGACATTATCGTTATCTTTTCTTTCAATTTCTTGCGAATCTTTCTCGTCTGATGTGGAATTTTTGTCACTTTCAGAATTTTCAGCACTGTCATTATTATCATTGGAGTCGTTTTTATGTATGGAGGTTTCATTCTCTTTTTCTAGATTCTGCGTTTTCTGTTTTATTTGAGAATTTTCTTTATTATCTTTTTCTTCGGTTTTTGGAGGTTCTTTAGTTTCTTTAACGGTACTATTATTTTGTACGTCATTATTTTCGTGTTTATTGCTTCCGTTATCTTTCTTCTCATCTTCGTCAGCTTTTTCTTTTTCGGCCGCTTGAGCGTGTTCCATTTTCAATCGTTTTTTCAACGGATGTACAGCCTCCATTTTTGAGGTGGACTTTTCTTTGTCTTCATCTTCTCTTGGAATTTCCTCTTCCTCTTCTTCTTCTTCGCTGGATTCGTCCTCTGAAGAATCGTGTTTAATGCTCGTTCCGGTGAGTCTTTCGATTTCGGCAAAATCTTCTTCTTCCGACGATGATATTCTTCCACCGCTTAAAGCGGCGTAATCAACTACTTTTCGTTTTCGCCCGCTTGTTCTTACACCTCCGGGGGTTGAAGATGGTGCGGAAAATTCTCTTTCGTCGGCGTCGGATTTTCGCCTTCTTTGTTTCTTTTTCGGTGAATTATCGTCTGAGGTTTTATCATCTCTTCCCGGGTCGACATATATTTTTCTTGGGCGTCCTCTTTTTCTTGGAGTAACTATTTCAGGTTTGTCCGAAGATGTGTTATTTCTTTCTTTATCGCCATCGCTGGGTGGTTCAACATCAACTTTTGGTTGGAGAGGAGTTTTTCTTGGTCTTCCTCTTTTCTTGGGGGCGACGACCTGCTCGACGGTTTCCTTTCCTTTACACTCATCCATAATTCTCCTTACTTTTTCTTCGACGCTCGTTTGAAGCTCTTGTTCGGTCGATGTAGTGTCTTTGAATTTTTTTTGTCTGTTGTATGGTCTTTTCGGGGAAACCCACTCTTCGTCTTCGTCGTCGCTTCTTCTCTTCGAACCTCTTTTGTGGATGCGTATTATGCGTTTATTGATTGATTCTCTTTGCGTTGGATTGCCCACAACTGAGAACGATTGTATTTTGGAGTAAGTGCGCAAAATCTGTCGACCTTTCAACGCAGATGGGTTAAAAGACTCAGGGACGGTACGTATCGCCGCGTCCGTAATAACTTTCTTGGCCGCTATTAGAGCATCTAAATCAATTAGATTCTTTTTCACAGACACATCGTTCTTATCGTCCTTTTCGGGGGAAAGTTCTCTATCGGAATCGCTGCTACTTATTGACGTAATTTGGCTTGCCGCGGCGGCTTCAGGTAAATCTGGAACATATAATAAATTTTCAGAGTCAGAAGATGATTTCGAAACAATTTTCTTTTGTAGTATCTTATTATTGTTTAATATAACGGTTTTTTGTATTATAGGTTTCGTTACTGCATGTTTCTTCTGCACTCTTTCTAGCATAAGATCCAAATCATCTGAACTGTAATGAACGACCTGATCGTTTAACACTTCAATCTTTTTCTTTTCTTTAATTTCCTTTTCGGGGATTTTCTCACTCTTACTTTTATCGTTCACTATTTCGATAACCTCAGCCGCGTCGCAAGCCTCATCGTCTACACTCTCATAGACCAGATCAACCGTATCTTTCGGGTCCACTTGCATTACGAACGGACTGTGATTCAATAACGTACTCATTTTTGTGCGCAAATTACTCAATAGGGCAGCTTTTACCGGTTTTTTACCAGTAGATGTACCGTCCCCGGTTTTTGCCTCCGGTATCTGTCCTATTACCGTACCCATTTTTACGTTCTTTAATTGATTCTGTAATCCCATTTCTGCTATTTGCTTTGGCGTTATTACTATTACTTTTGAAACGATTTTTTTTATTTGACTAACCCCTAGTTTTGGTGGCTTGCTATTTGATTCTTCCATCACTAATAAATGAAAAGTTAAATTAAAAAACGCTGAAATTGCATCTTTTTTTGTTTAAAAAAACGGCAATTACAGCCTTTGTTAATTTCACTCTTCAAATATTTATCATAACGTTGTTAATCTTATTATTTTTGTTTTGTTAATTCTTAAAATACATGATTTCAAAAGTTCTTTTCAAAATATTTAAAAACTATTTTATCGGTATTTATAGAATCACAGACATGGTTTATTTTTTTATAATTATTTATTACTTTTTTAAATAACGAAACCAATGGTTTGTCTAAATATTAGAACTTTTGAAATAATAAATACTTGAGTGATTTCACTGTTAATTAATTAATAATAAAATTAACCGCTTTTTGTATATTAAAAAATTGACATACAGAATGATTCTGCACTACAAAAACCTACCATCTAACTCACACCTTAATTATTTCAAAAAAATCACAAACATATTTCTTAAACTCATTATGTATTCATATATTTGTCATTCTCAAATTACGTCTCTCGTTTTCTTTCAATTCTCGCTCAGCCAGCGATACAAAAGTGGAGGAACTCTCTTTGATTTTCTCCCCAAACTTTCGATAGTTTGATAACACTTTAATGATACTTTGACTTTTTTACAACCCAACATTTCAAGTATTATATCTTTTCCTGTAGCAATTCCTAGCATAGACAAAACTAACTTCACGAAATCTGTCGAGATAGAACACACCTTGCGACTAAGAGAGAAGAGTGATATTCCAGAGAGGTGAAATTTTTAAGAAAATATTTTATTACTTACAAGTAACGCTAGGAATCATGGAAAGTCATCACTACAAGTAGTAATGCATGTAATAACCAAAACTTTCTTATTGTGAGCTTTTTGAACGTGATTTTTTGATACACTACTTGTATGGTAAGTTTCAAGAAAATCGCCGTATAGCATCCCTAGTATTATTTGTTAGACTTGAAATTGGTTGTTCTACATGTTTACTTACCTACTTTTGAGTAACCCTATATTCTTAGTATGATCTCAAAAGTAACATTCTCCAGATATTTAAAGTTCAACAAATTCTCCAATTGTTAACTTCATAAATTGCATTCTCCACATTTCAAAGCATTTTTTCCTCAAAATATGTAATTCCATATGATTTTAAGAAATATGTTTATGATATATGAACTTTTTTGAATTCATCTTGTAGGTTAGAATCACTATGTATATTTTGGTAAGTAATAAAAATCAAATTTTGTAAATATTATTGTATTAAATTAGAGAATAACAAAGTTACTCATTGTTGATTTCAAGATATTGATGATTTTTATAGAATACACTTTCGTATAGGCAACCAATCAAACAGACGCAATCCAGGTAGCTTCGTCCAAAACGAATTACATAAAATCTCAGCATTTTTATCAAATTTCAACATTTAGAACGCAAATAAACAGTGAAATAATCAATTTTCGACTTGTATTTTTAAATTTTGTAACATTTATCTTAAAATTTTTTTTACACCAACTGACAGAATTAAACATCTAAGATTATTTTATCTTAGCTTTTTTTTACTAAAAATCATGCACACAAAATTATTGATTTATTTTTGGGAAAAAAACGGCAATTGGTTATAGTGTTGGATGGGTCTTTGCTGGTAATATTTGCAGAATGCGATATCGAACAAGTCGTTTGGCGGCACTTGACTGACTCCGCTGGACGGGATATAAATAGATAGAAAAAAACGACCATGGGGTTTTACTTACCTAACTTAAATAAATTCGTCGAACGATGACACCGGCCGGTATCTGATAATTATTATTTTTTTTCACGATTTATAAAAATATTAGTAAATGTACATTGCACGCCGTTTTTGCGTCACACGAAAAACACCAAGCATTCATCACAAGGGCATCGAATGAAATTAGCGCCGATTCAATCAACACGATGTTAGCTACTACAGCGCATTGTTACCAACATTTTTCTTTAAATTTATTTATTTATGTTTCATAAACATTATAAATATTAATATTTTCTTAATTTTTTTTCACCAAATTTTATTAAATTTATTATAAAATAAGTATTAACAATATTTAAGTTTTTGAATTCACATTATTGACATCACCTTAAATTTGAGGTTAGATTTTGATTATCATACCTCAATTTAAGGTGCCTAGCCTTTTTAATTAATTAAAAAAAAATAAGTATGTCTGATTAACTTTTAAAATTAATTACACTCTGTCTAGCACAAAAAAAATTATTTACGGGGTGTGGAAAGTAAGTGACGTCACGGAGGCCCTAAATCGATTTTTAACCTACTAAAGATGGAAATTAAATCCAAATTTGTTTAATACAAAGGACCAGTTTTATCATTTTAATAATAGAATTAATTAATTAACACATTTTTACAGGATATAAAATAATGTAGTTATACAAAATAAAAACTTAAGAGTAATCATCTTGATCATCGGTTGTTGGTAAGGCTTGAGCTTGTTGAGCTGAAGCTTGAAGTTTTTCCCACTCTTGTTGGTCAGCGTAAGCTTGTTCTTGCCTGGCTTTTGCAAACAATTCTTGTTGTTGCCTTAATAATTCTTCCTCAGGAATTCCTAAATTTTCAAGCCTTGTGCTTTGTCTTCTTCTTTTAGCTGCTACGGCTCTGCAGTCTCTTAATACAGCTTCAGCTTCAACACGATAATCACTAAATCCTAATCTTTCTAAAGCTATAAGTTGACAAATTTGTATAAAATAAATTCTTAAAAATAAAACAATTTTGATTACCTGAGAAGATGTGTTGTGCACTGATAGTTTTCTTATGTAATTGATTACATATATCATTTGCTTCCGAACTTAGTAAATGTATAAATTCCGTACAACAATTCAAAACAAGCTCTCTAGCTTCGTTTGCAATTCGAACGTGAGGGACCAACTCTTTTATCATTTTATTTATACTTGCCCGAGGCAAGGTGAGCTCATCGTCTTCTGTATTTGGAGTGCTACCCGAAGGAGTTGAATTACTCATAATAAGCCCTAATTAATAAAATTTTTATTGTTTAACCTTAAAAGTTGTTTTGACACTTGGTAGGTTTTGACAACTAAAAACCAACCGTTAATAAAGTTCAATAAAATTCATTTATTAAAATTAATTTAAAAAAAATCATTTTTTTTATTAACTAAATCAGAAAATTAATAATAAATTGACTAATTTACAATATAAAAAGATTTCTAATATCAAAAAATAATCGAGGTTGGTACTACAATTAAATTTGTAACGATCTTCCGAGATTTCTGATTGTTGTATTTATCTTAATTTATGATAAATATAACATCAATATTATTCTCTCACTCCAAAAGTAATTAATAATATAAATTAATAAATTTTAAATTAGATTTTAATTTAAATTAATAAATTTTTTTAACGTTGGTAATAACTGACAATTTCAATTCAAAACCTTAACGGTTTTTTGAGTATGTCACATTGACTCATATTCCGTTTAAGTTTTTATGTTCTCAATAAGTTACCTTTAATTCAGCACGTTTTAAGTGATTTTAAATGGCTCAATTTCGCTACGTAAACGAAATAAACAGTCTTTTAAACGTCGATGGCCCCATAACAACCGGTCCTACACCGAGATGGCAAAGAAAAGGTGAAAATAATCTCTCCACCAGTAACATTAGTTTAAATTCATCGAAAGCGAAAAATTCATCGGCAAATACAAGTTCAAATGTAAAAACTCCATCGAAAAGAGGAGGTAGTGATGTTATACGTACAAAAAAGACCCCGTCGAAAACGCCATCGAAAAGTAAAAGTCCTGGAAGAGCTACAACACCTAAACCTACTCCGAATAAAGGTAGTAGAACTCCCGGTGGAGATAGATTTATTCCCGTTAGAAGTGCAGCTCAATTTGAATTGGGCCATTATTTATTGAATCAAACTGAAGATGCTGCTGAGTGTCCTGCGCAGATGGCAATGCAGAAAGTTCTTGTTGAAAATTTGCATGGAACGGATATGAGTAAACCTAAAATTTTGTCTTATCAAAAGAAAGCTTCTTCTGCTCCGGAAGGATTTCAAAATCCCATGAGGGTTTTGTATACGCAAGCGAAAACACCTGCATCAGTTAAAAATACAAATAGATATATTCCTCAGGCACCCGATAGAATCTTAGATGCTCCCGATATTGTTGACGATTTTTATTTAAATTTAATTGATTGGAGTGGTAATAACATTTTAGCTGCTGCTTTAGGCACAAGGGTTTATCTTTGGAATGCAGGTAAATATTAATTAATTTATAATTTTAAATATACACAAAGTTCTTGCACATTTTGCTGTCAAGTTTAAATCTCTACTATTTACCAAAAACATAAAAAGTATATGAATATGTTTTGAATTTAGGTACAGGTAAAATAGACGAATTAGTTGAACTCCCAGACACAGTTTGTTCTTTATCTTGGATACAAGAAGGTGATTATCTCGCAATAGGCACAACTCAAGGTACTACAGACATTTGGGATTGCGCCACATCAAAAAGACTTCGTGCAATGGATGGGCACTCTGCGAGAGTTGGGTCATTAGCTTGGAACTCGTACGTTGTTTCTAGCGGCTCTAGAAGTGGACAAATAATTCATCACGACGTCCGACAGCGTGAGCATCAAATCAGCGTTTTAAGTGGTCATACCCACGAAGTGTGCGGATTAAAATGGTCAACCGATGGCAAATATTTGGCTAGCGGTGGAAATGATAACGTTTTAAATGTTTGGCAAACGGTTAATGGGGGTCATCACACCAATAACACTCCCTTATTTAGTTTTACGCAACATCAAGCTGCGGTTAAAGCTTTGGCTTGGTGTCCTTGGCAGCCTCATATCTTAGCAAGTGGGGGTGGAACTGCTGATAGACATATTCGTTTTTGGAATTGCAACATTGGTTCTTGTATTAATTCTGTTGACACAAAATCTCAAGTATGTTCATTGTTGTGGTCTACGAATTATAAAGAGTTAGTTTCTGGGCATGGATTTGCTAATAATCAATTGATTATTTGGAAATATGCGGGTATGACGAAAGTTGCTGAACTGACTGGGCATACTGCGAGAGTGTTACATTTGGCGATATCTCCCGATGGCAGCACAGTACTTTCAGCTGGAGCCGATGAAACCTTGAGATTATGGAATTGTTTTGCTAAGAATCCCGTTAAAGCTAAGGAACAGAAAAATAAGGAGAAGCCAAGTATACTTAAAAGTTGTATTCGTTAAATGCTTTTTATTTTTATAAGTAATGTGACGATGTGTTTCATTTAATAGTATTGATAAACTTGTATTGTGTTCTTGTATTTTTAATGAAATAAAGTATTTTTTGATATTAGTTTTTCTTCTTTGTTCCATTAGGAGTACTCCCTGTTAATCTTGCCTCTTTTCATTTTGTAGATGAGGATAATCAAATATGGACCCATCTCTTGTCTCATGTTTCTTCGATGTTTGCTGGGCTATTAATAAATGAAAAATACTCATCAAATTCAATTAGATTAGAAAAATATAACATAGAAAAAAATATTGCATCGAGTTCAGTCACCAGGCGGTGATAATGAACAGTTTTTGGAAGAGGTCCTATGTTTACATTGGGAGACTATAACATATGTGTTAATGAAAACTCCAAAATCAAAGACAATTTTTTATCTATTATATCAGAACATGGACTTAAGTCAGTTTTTAGTCAACCATCGCGTGTAAATGGAAGCTGTGTAGATAACATGTTTATAAATACATTTACGGAAGTTGTTATAAAAAATACAGTAAACTGGCATCTAGGTGACCATCTGGCACAATTGACAACAATTATTCCTGAATATGAAACTGAAAAGAACAAACATACAAAAATAAGACTAATAAATAAAGGTACAATGGAACAATTCGTCAGCAAATTAAGAAATAGAGACTGGGCAATAATAAAAGATCAAAACACTGATGCGCAAACCAGTTATACAAAGTTTCACCGAATAATTACATCGAAATGAATTCAGATGGCCTAAGAAAAATGAAAAACACTTTAGATGCTATCTACACGATAGCTGAAGTAACGAAAGAAAACAAATACAAAGAATTGTTTCAAATACAAAAAAGTAAGTTTAGAAGACTGATAGATAACTGATAGACTGATAGATAAATAACTGCTGTCTGGAATACAGTAAAGCAACAAACTGGAAAAACAAGGCGCAAGAAAGAAAATAAATCTCTTCTGGACGCAAATGAAGTAAATAAATTTTTTGGAAAGTGGGAAAACTCAAACAATCAATATGGGAATAAAAGATCCTATTGGGCTTGAGCAAATTGAAGAAGAAGAAGATATGCAACTAGAAGAAATTGGAGAAAAAGTAGTGGAAAAGATAATTAAAAATTTTAATAAGACAAATACAATAAATACACCGTTATTGGAATGCAGCACGGACTACATACCGGGTAAATTCATATTTTCAAGGAAATACCTCGCCCATTGTGGTTCCACAGAAGTAGATGGAAAAAACACCGTTAAAATCTACACTGATGGTTCATGTAGACGGACTGGTGCAGGAGCGGGAGTCTTTTCTAATGATTTACGACTCCGTCTCCTCATAGCACTCGAGAAGGCATCACCATCAAGCAGGTGGAATTAGTCGCTATAAAACTTGCTGCTGACTTATTGTCAGCTCCAATTTCAGTGGTAAGACCTTTACTATCTTTACCGACAGTAAACAATCTGTTTTAGCTCTAAGCAGGAATAAATTTACCTCTGCGCTGAGGATTGTCACATGACGTTTGAGGATACGGCAACATTAAACGGTGTCACACTGCGGTGGATTAAGGGACATTCGACTCACTCGGGAAATAAGTACGCCGATAGGCTGGCAAAAAGGGCCGCTGGAAAATTTGCCGACAATTCTCCCTTCTACGATACCTCATATTGAGTTAATTAAAAACCTAACCCGCAAAAAGTTTTTTGACTGGTGGGATAGAGTTAAAGGGTGCCAGTTAGCTAAGCGGTTAAAGAGAAAAAAAATAGTACTAATAATGTCAAAAGTTTTCGAAACTATAATATAAAACAGAATCATGAAACATATAACAGAAAAGAAATTAATAACAAAGTATCAACACGGATACCAACAAAAAACATAAAGCTGCTTTTGATATGCAATGTTACACGCAAGTAGCCTTCTGGGATCTTAACAAGGCGTTTCATTCTGTAGACTATAATATTCTCTTGAAGAAAATAGAAACATTCGGTATAAAAGAAAACGGAAAAAAACTAATCGGTTATCTTCATGATAGACAGCAACAGATTTATTGGAATCAAACAACATCTAATTGGAGGAGGGTTGTAATGGGAGTACCACAGGGTTTTGTGCTGGTCCCCATTTTATTCCTATGACTTGCGTCAAAATATATAGGCGGACTCTATGTGTCTATATGCTCATGACACCTCTTTTACAAATACTTCAAAAGATTTTCAGGACCTGGATGAAAAGACTAAAAAAACATTAGATACAACCAATAATTGGTTCAAATTGAATTATTTATGCTTAAACAGGAAATAAGAAATATGTATTTTGCATACTTTCATGGTATGGCAGTATATGGAATACTCACATGTGTTTCATGGTGCATCAAGAGAGTCTGAAGAAATTTTGAAACTGCAAAAAAAGGCAATAAGGATTTTGAAGCAACTAAGATTCAGGGAAAGCTGTAGAGAACACTTTAAGAGTACATATAAACATTTTAACAATACCATCATGTTTTATTTTCGCTTGCCTCCAGCACTTGCCTCGCTTGCCTCCAGCCATAATAATTATGACACGCATTTTGAAGATAATTTATTACCATCTCTTGACAGAGTGCAGATATCGCAAAGTACGTTTATATACATTTCAATCAAGTTATATAATGCTTTACCATTGAGGTTAACGAAACTGGAGGGAAAAATATTTCAAGGGGAAGTGAAGAGAATGTTGATAGAAAATGAACTTTATTCATTTGAGGAATTCTATTGAAAAATGCAAAATTATAAATAAAAATTAAGTATTGTGAAATGTATATATATATTTTTTTTCTTCCCCGACGTATTAAATGTACTACGTTTTGTACATTTTAGAAATAAAGATTGTTATATTGCTACTCAAAAATGAAGAAATCACTTTAAAGCAAAATTTATTTCGATATTTTTATTGGATACTTTAANGTTCAACACAGACAGAAGATCAGGTGCGTCCAGCAAGCCATTGACCAGTTTGAAAAGAAAAATTAAGTCTGAGACTAGCCGACGCTGCCGCAGGGATAATAAGTTAAAAACCACACAGCGTCTATCGTAATCGCAATAGGGAAGATGATATTTGTAAGCCTTTTACATACCGGGTAAATTCATATTTTCAAGGAAATACCTCGCCCATTGTGGTTCCACAGAAGTAGATGGAAATAACACCATTAAAATCTACACTGATGGTTCTTGTGGACGGACTGGTGCAGGAGCGGGAGTCTTTTCTAATGATTTAAGACTCCCTCTCCTCATAACACTCAAGAAGGCATCACCATCAAGCTGGTGGAATTAGTCGCTATAAAACATGCTGCTGACTATATTGTTAGCTCCAATTTTAGTGCCTTTGGTAATTTAGGCTGGTCGATACAGCCGGGGTGAGTGTTGGGAGGATGTACAAGGGGCCCTTTAGGGCCTTCTCTTACATGTGTTTCATGGTGCATCAAGAGAGTCGGAAGAAATTTTGAAAATGCAAAAAAAGGCAATAAGGATTTTAAACATTTTAGAAATAAAGATTGTTATATTGCTACTCAAAAATGAAGAAATCACTTTAAAGCAAAATTTATTTCGATATTTTTATTGGATGTAGATAACATGTTTATAAATACATTTACGGAAGTTGTTATAAAAAATACAGTAAACTGGCATCTAGGTGACCATCTGGCACAATTGACAACAATTATNTACATTTTAGAAATAAAGATTGTTATATTGCTACTCAAAAATGAAGAAATCACTTTAAAGCAAAATTTATTTCGATATTTTTATTGGATACTTTAATTTTACAAAGAAAAAATATATACACAAATTACATCTATCTTTGGCATATAAATAAGTTAAATAGATTTAACAATTGCACAAATAAGAAGAATGAAGAGGAAAAAATCGTAAATTTACTCTAAATATACAGACATTTACAACAATTAAAATCTAATAATGGTAATCTTTGGAGGAAAAAGTATATATGTATAATGGTAGGATTTTGTAGCTACATAATTACTTAGTACATCCTATACATGCAGTTGTACACTTAAACGAATACTGCTAATAAATACAATGAATGAAATTATTCGATTCGATGAAAGATACTTCCAAGCCGCCTCTTTCTTTCTTTGGTTGCAACAGTGTTGACTGTGTGTATCACATCCAAAAAACACAACAATATACTAAAAAAATTTGTATATTAAACATTAATGCAAGAATTTTTTACATTTGTACTCACGTTAACATCAAATTGTTTAATTTAGATGTAAAAATAATTTTCATAATCAGCGTATGATGGTCCAGAATTCTTTATGCTTAAGCTATTATTAGAAGATGGATGTTTATCATCACTTGGTTTTGTAGTCTTTTTGGCACTCGATTCTTCCGGATATCTTAAAGGGAGGAGCGATGTGTGTGATTTAGATAGGTGTAAACTTTGGGGAGTTTTGATTTGTGTCATCGATGGTGCTGTTGTCCAAAACATCTACGAAAAAAACGAAATAAAAAAAAAAAAATAGGTTAATAATAATTACATCCTAATTTTCGCGAGTAACAATGCGTGAAATTAAACCTTTCTACTTTGAAATTATCATAAAAAATCGTACCTTTCGTCTTGATAAAGGTAAATAATCTGGATTTCTTCTGATTAAAAAGTGACATTGATTACTTGGTAACCAAGTTTGTTGGACCACCAAAGGTCGATCATCCGGATGTAGTTTTCTTTGTTGTTCTTTGCTGGTGCACACTTCGTACAAAGAAAATTGTTCGACTCGCTCTTTGCTATTTGAACAAGAAAGCAAAAGCGCTATTAATTCATCAGCTGTCGTTCGCGCGCTTATCAACAAGCTTTTGTACTGCGAGTGACTATTTAAAGCTGAATCGTAAACTTTCACTAAACCGCCTCGTCGAGTTTGAAGTGAAAATCTAGAAATAAAAAATCATATAGACAATCTAAATTAATTAAATAAAAAAAAACTTACTTAGAATCACCTTTTGGATGACAACTTTGAAGAACCGCAGGTTTCGCCTCATCATCTAAAGCTAATTGGGTCCTTACCCCAGCTTTTCTCACAGTTACTTCCATGCTTAAATAGAAAAGCTTTGGATCTCTATGTTTCATTTTGTATTTACTAAGTAACGTGGCCACAACTTCTTTACTTGTTGTTTGAAACGTGATGCTTAGGGTTTTGTATTCTATATCGGGTCGGAGACATTTTGCGTAGATTTTTATTGTAGTCTAAAAATAAAAGAAAATTAATTAAAAACAACAAATAAATAATAAGATGTGAATCGTACATGTATAAATAAAGTTTTTATTGTGAGTTTAGGAAATTTGCAACTTGCGATATTAAACATTTTTAAAGCGCACCTCTTTATACTACAACATTCATGTTACAACTAAGAAAAAGATCGAAACGGAAGAACAGTTGCGCGTTTTAAACGAATATTTTTTAGTCGGTAATCCCAGAATTAGCCCTGAAATCGTCTTCGGTGGCGCTTTGAGCGTCTTCCGGTGCGGGACTAATAAAGAATCAGAACACGTCCTAATGGCATTTGTCAGGATCACTCCTTCGCTTATAAATCGTTAAAAACTTTGTTTTGTTATTTCAATATTCGTGTTTCAATTTTTAATAACAATTAACCCCCTAAGTAACTAATGGAATCTATAAATAGATTAGAATGAGTTTCATAATTGATTTTTAAGTTTTAAGTAACTTTGGTGTAGCGGAAGTAAGTTATGAAAAGCTTTTAGGAGTTACAAGTTCGTGGTTAAGCTAATAATACTTCCATTATGTTACAAACTAAAACTTTTTTCAATATCTTGCGCATATATTGGGACTAATTGAACATCATATATCTATCATATTGGCATAGAGCTATAATTAGAATACTTGTTTCTATAATGACCCCCATACACATTCTTCATCCTAATAATTATGTTAACTAAAAGTTAACTAAAAAAAAATACACAATCTGTTTTACATTTAAAATGTTTTAGGGAGAAAAAAACTCTAAAAGATTAATTTCTTTGGTGGAAACATCATGATGAGGAATGACGGGGCTCGTGTCGTAGTCAAAATAGGCTTTCACCTTCCACTCTGTATTGAGTTAGGGTTTGTTAAAACACCTGGAATCTATATTTGAGCACGCAAGCTGCGAAAAATCTATTTTTGTTCATAAACTAAGCCGTCCGTTATGAACTACATACATCTGCAGTAGTAATAGTGGTAGTCAGTCTGGCTGGAACCTAAAGGTTTTTTCTCGATAATGGCCCGCTTCTATAATGTCTTGAGAGATATCGTCGTCGCGCAAACAACCTTGTTTAATGAGCCAGAAATTATTAATGAAACGTACTTTAATTAACTTAATGGTTGTTTACGAAATCAGAATTTTAATGAAAAGAAAAGTTTAAAAAATTTATTTCGAATTTATTGCAGATGTAACCCATCCAAATTTAATCTATTTTTCACCTCGCGCTATTTCACGCCTAGTTAAAATACATTAAGACTCCCCCCGAGTATATTTACCAAGTTTCCCCTTAAAAACAAAGAGTTAGCACGGCATATGTTTGATGTAGGGGCTTCTGTTCGTCCTGCTGTCGTAAGGAAATACTCGGACTGCCGACGTCAAGCTCGAAAAACAAAAGGGGCTGCTGCAGGATAAAGACTAAAGACCAATCTCGAAATTCGACCCGGCATTAATAGCCCCGAACGTTTAGCATATGGTGTGTGCAAAGGGGTTTTTACTTGCCAGTGATTTTTTTAGGCACGCACTTGGGAGTGGAGTTCCGGAAAGGTTCAATTTTAAAGAGTCTAGCACGTGTTAGGTACACCTGCGCGCACACTTTTGCGGTTTTACACTTCATTTTAAGACCGTTTAGTCAATTTGTTTCTCCTTCGGTTGATGGATCTTATTTTCCATAATCATCGTTGTTATTATTTTTTAAATCCAACTCTTTATTGCTTCCACAATCAACATCAACGACTTTATAATTACGTAGTGGAATGATGAGTACTCAACGTAACCATATAGAATTTATAGCATGCTATTTTAAGTTATAACAAAGTCCAATTACTCCTTTATTGGAACATAAAAATTCCAATCCTATATAAACAAACTGGCTATCAATCCGAAGGAAATGATAAGAGTTGGCGCCAAGAACCGCCGGAGAAGTTTACACGATAAACCACGTGGATAAAAACATGATAAACAATTATCATAATTTGACTTCAAATTTACATATACTTGTTTATAACTTGGCGCTTCGGGAATAGATCGTTGAGGGAATTGAAGACAAGGTACACGTGTGTACATTCTCCTTTGGTGTGGTGACTAGGAATGTTACCTCTCGTAATAATTGCTCATGATTTACGGTATACGCCTTACATCCGACGACTTTTAATTTACAGAAACCGAACGGATGCTTATTAAACTTGTAAGAAGTCGTTCGTTTCTTACGTATTAAAAGCCCCCCATCCTCCATTAACCACTTATTGCCATTAGAAAAACCGTTTTCTTATTAAACTAACTCTGCATACAGTTAGTTTTATTAAACGACTTTTGATTATAATTGGATTGAAAAATAATTACTTAATATAGTACTTGTTATAGTCTTTCAGCGAAGTATTCAACAAACATGACGAAAGGTACTTCAAGTTTCGGTAAATGTAAGACCTAGAACTAGAATCATTCGGGTTTAGCCATCTTGAGAGATGTGCTACTAAATCCGAATGTTTCTAGTTCTCGCTCTAGTGTTAGTTCTAGTTTTGCACTAGCACTATTACTAGAACTAACACAAGACCTAGAACTAGAATCATTCGGGTTTAGCCGTCTTGAGAGACGTGCTGCTAAATCCGAATGTTTCTAGTTCTCGCTCTAGTGTTAGTTCTACTTCAATTACATAATTAGTTATTTGTAAGATAATGTATAAAAACTTCGTTATTTTTTTTTGCTACAACAAAGATAAAACGAAGATACAAGAACAAACTAAGAGTTCCTCTCGAAACAATGATCTTTACGGGTTGACGCTTAACGCATCCTTGAGTATCATTGGAATTCGCTCTGCGAAGCGAGAAGTCTCTTAGAATAACAATGCACTCTCCGGGTACCATCAAGTTGAAGGTTCTTGCCCTTCCGCCATCCCTATCACGTACGAGGTCACCTTATCTATTTAATTTCTTTAGATTTAACACTGCAGATTTAACATTCACTTCATTGAATGTAAATTAATTTTTTGTTAATTAAATTCGTTGTAAGAAGATTGTTTGATTAAAACATTTGGTTTTTTGACCTTTCGTAATTTGAAACATGTGGTTAACACTCCGAGAATGAAGTGAACAGATTTGTTCAATACAAATGAAACGTTTATAACTTGTTTTTTATTTTCTTTGTAAAGTTATTAAAATATTGGAATAAGTAAAGAATTTCTACAACATGGGAACTAAATGTAATAAATAAGTTTCGCAAGAGAAAAACTGGTGCAACATGTACGATATCGCTCATAATATCAAAGTGTGGCGTACAAGCTAAATACACCTGCAGAAGGTAATTGTTGGCTTGCAAATATGCCCATTGTTGTTTAGCCGCCAAGACAACTAGTTACACGGTTCTATTCTCATAATTTCTTATTAAATATTGCTTAACTCTCGCGTACGCACTGCACCCTTCTTGTAAACTGAGAGGACAATATATCCTTGTCAAGGATAAGAGCTTATGTGTCGAGCGATCGCTTGGAAGTGTTCTTTCTACTCGAAATGAATCTTAAGTAGGCAAAGCTGTAAAAAATGCAGATGCGTCCGTAATAAAGATATCGCCATAAAATTTAAATCCATATGTATAGGACTTATCCCTGAAATGAATCTTAAACGTTTAATTCTTCGATTGAACCAAACCGATCATTTCACATACACAATTTTTAATGGTTGTATTTGTATCTTTATAGGAATCGTACGTGCGGAACCATTTTCATTTTCATTTCGTATATACAATGGCAAATAACTTCCAAGTTGATATTTAATTCGGAACGTGACTCTAACTCATATATTTGCACATAATAGACAAAGATATCTTGTAATAAAAAGGAAATAAAAATAACAAAACTTAAATTCATAAAGATACCTTTTTATTGACATTAAGATATAAATATACCAGACCATATTTATTTTAAATTTATATATGGAAAGGAATGGATCACATTATTATCAGTTTAGGCACGGAACGTCTCTTATCGCTGTTAAAATGTCACGTCTTCGTTTTGTTATCAATAAAAGAATTTGGGAGGCACGCCAAAGAAGATAAGAAGAAAAGCACGTTTTTAATAGATTTCAATCAAACGATTCTAAATGTATCGGATATAAACAGTAAACATTCAGTATTTAGGGCAAATCGTTTAGGTTTTGTCGGTCCGAGTAAATTGTGCAATTCAATTCGTTGCCCTCTTTAACATTTTCCGCTAGATCGAAACAATTACCTTAATCGAATTCGTATCGAGCCGTGCGATCTAAATGGTTTCCAGGATGAAGGAAGCGCTAGGAAATGGTTATTGACAGAATTCTAATTTAAAGAGGATTTTAAGTAAAGGAGATTTGAGGGATTAACCTAATTGTCTCTTCGGACAAAGTAACTTAATTAGGTGTATTGAATTTAACGTCGAACTAAACTTCTGTTGGCCATATGGACATTTTGTTCTTTTAGGGACAAGAATCGTGTTATTTTGGATGTTCTAGTGAATAGCTTTATGGGCGGGCCCACAAAACCCACAAATTTTACACTTCAGCTTACTTTCACATAATTTTAAAGTTTTCATAGAAAAACAATCTTCTCAACATGTTTAAAAAAGATTTCAATCAGCTTATTTTGTTAATGGTTCTTTCTACTTTTCAACATTTTTCTATTGCTTCTCAATAGAAAAATCAACAATCTTCAAATATTAAAGATTGATTTTTAATAGTAAAATTTAATTAAATTTAACTAGTAATTAATTTGTTCATTTATAATGTTAATATCTTTTGGGGTTATACTGAAATATTAAGAAATCTTCACGATTTCTTTCCTCAATATTTTCGTGATTTAACATATCACGTATTACATATCATTTTAAAGAGTAATGTTTCAGCTTTATTTTGCTGTATAAATTGTTTTATAATTTTCATTAATAACCCAGCTACGATTTTTTTTAAACTTGGTTGTTTGTTGATTATTGGTTATATTGAAACATCAAGAAAACTTCACGATTTT